TGAACAAATAATAAAGGAGAATTTCCCCAATCTGGCAAAGGAAATAGACTTCCAGGAAATCCAGGAAGCTCAGAGAGTCCCAAAGAAGTTGGACCCAAGAAGAAACACACCAAAGGCACATCATCATTACATTAGCCAAGATTAAAATGAAGGAAAGAATCCTAGAAGCAGCAAGAGATAAAGGGACAGTCACCTACAAAGGAGTTCCCATCAGACTGTCAGCTGATTTCTCAAAAGAGACCTTACAGGCAAGAAGGGGCTGGAAAGAGGTTTTCCAAGTCATGAAATCCAAAGACCTACAACCAAGATTGCTCTATCCAGCAAAACTTTCATTTAGAATGGAAGGGCAGATAAAGTGCTTCTCAGATAAGATCAAATTCAAGGAGTTCATCATCACCAAGCCCTTATTATATGAAATGTTAAAGGGACTTACCTAAGAAAAAGAAGTTAAAAAAACATGAACAGTGAAAGGACAGCAAACTCACAGTTACTAACAACCACACCTAAAACAAAAGCAAACTAAAAGGACAGCCAGATCAGGGGTGGAAACATAGAAATGAAGATCTCAAGGAGGGTTAGCAACAGGGGAGTGGGAGAAGGAGAAGGGGGGAGAAGGTACAGAAAATAAGTAGCATAGACGGTAGATAGAAAATAGATGGGGGGGCAAGAATAGTATGGGAAATATAGAATCTAAAGAACTTGAGACACATGGTCATAAACTAAAGGGGGGGTAATGGTGGGGACGGGGGGGTAGGGTGGAGAGGAATGAAGGGGGGAATAGAACAACTGTAATGGCATAATCAATAAAAAATAAATTTAAAAAATAAAGAAATAAATAAATTTCAGAAGACATCTTGTAGAACGTATTCTCTGACTTCAATAGAATTAAAATGAATAGCAAGAGAACAGCAAATATTTATAACTGAGTCATAATGGAAAGGCAATATAGCAAAATTTTAGGATTTATCTATAGCAGTGCTTAGAGGAAAATATCTTTCAATACTGTATTAGAAAAGAAGGAATCAAAGACACTTCCACCTTAAAAAATAGAAAAATTAGACCTGGTCGGGTGGCTCAATTTGCTGGAGCATTGTCCTGTACACTAGGAGATTGTGAGTCTGCTCCCTGGCCAGGGCACCTAGCTAGATTGCAGGCTCACTCCTGCATCGTGGCACCTGTGGGTTGCAGCCCATTGATGTTTTTCTCTCACATGGGTGTTTCTCTCTCCCTCCCCCTCCCCTCTTCCTCTTTCTCTGAAATCAATAGACATATTCTTGGATGGAGATTTTTTTTAAATACAAAAATTAAACCTATAGTAAGCAGAAGAAAAAACAAAGAATAGAGGAGTGGAAATCAATGGAACAAATAGACAAATACAAGGAAAATAAATGAGCAATAACTTACTGTCTCTTGGCTCCAAATCCACCCTTGTTTGCTCTGCTTTGTGAGACTGAAGATAGGTGCTATAAACATTACTCCTTTTCCAGCTGGCTTGATACTAGGCTTTGTCAATACACATTGCTGGTGGTTCGCTGCAAGTTTATGGCAGGTGAGAAGAGGCTTTCCTTCTTGTTATCCTTGTGCTTTTTTCCTGCTACCTTACCCAATAGAGGAGCTAGTGGGAGGCCCAGTAATACTTATCTCAGTAGATTTTCTGGACGAGCCCCTGCCTGCATGCACACTCTGGCCAGTTTCCCTGACACCTGGTAGGCCCCTTTTACAGATCAGCACCAGCCGACCCACGTCCTCTGGTAGATTTCTCTGCCACCCAGTAGACCACTTCTACAGATCAGCTCCAGTTAGGTTACCTCGTGCCCTACATGAAGTCTCTCGGCTACCCAGCGGACTGTTCTTATGAACCATTTCTGGCCCTATTTCTCTGTGAAGTTTCTCTCTGAAAGGGAAGGTTGTATGTAAGCAGGGCAAACAAGAGTGGGTTTGGAGCCACGGGACAGTAAGTTATTGCTCATTTATTTTCCTTGTATCTGTCTATTTGTTCCATTGATTTCCATTCCTCTCTTTATTCTTGGTTTTTTCTTCTTAACTATTGGTTTAATTTTTGTATTTAAAAAAAAATCTCCACCTGAGGATATGTGTATTGATTTTAGAGAAAGGGAAGGTTGTATCTGGCCTGTGATAAGAATTATAGTAAGTATTTCGCATATGAATGAACACATTTAATGTTTGGGGAATTTTCTCTTCCCAGAGTTTTTATTTTTTCTTGTGGAGAGATGGTCATGGTTGCATCCCCAGGGAAGAAGTGAATGATCTCATTGTTGAGTTAGCACAAAGGGCAAAGGTAGTGTAGTATAGCTCAGATAGGACCTTTTTTCTTCAGCTGCAGAGAGCACAGATCCTCTTCTCTTCTTCCATGTGATAAATTTTACAGGGGCAGCCCACACTGCAGGCAAGGTGCTGCTTGTCATTAGGTAGGTCAATCTGTGTAATTCGGGAGTGAAATATTAACAGGCTTACCTGCTCTTAAACCTAATATCTTTTCTCCAATTCAACTTTACTAATAATGTGGTCTTTGTTTTGATCCTTAGACTTATGTTCCCTTCCTTTATCAAAAAAGGATAAAGGTGAGGGAGAATTATTGACTCTAACATTTACTTTCTAGAAACTAAATGTCTTTTTGTCAATAAAAATTTATAGAATTATCAATAAAACAAACAAGCAAGCAAAGTATAGCCAAAGACATTGAAATTGAGAACAGGCTGACAGTGACCAGAGGGGAGAGGGGAGGGGATAGTGGGAGAAAATGGTGAAGGGTTTACAGGAACAATCGTAAAGGACACATGGACAATAACAAGGGGGGTGGAAGCAGGGGAGGGAGATGGGGAGGGCTAGGGTGGTGGGGAGTGGTGGAGGGAAAAGGCAGAAAACTATACGTGAACAACAGTAAAATGTTTTTTCTAAAAATATTATAGAATTAAAGTACAAACTACTATTTAGAAAAAAGTATTTTTGTAACATATATGGCAGAAAGGTTGCTGTCAGTAAAATGTAAGGAGCTCCTGCCCTGACCAGTGTGGCTCCGTTGGGTGGAGCATCGTCCTGTAAACCGAACGGTCTGAGGTTCAGTTCCTAGTCAGGGCCCATGCCTAGGTTGCAGGTTCCGTCCTGGTCGGGCATGTACCTACGAGAGGCAACTGATCAGCGTTCTCTCTCACACAGATGTTTCTCTCCCTCCTTTCCCCTAGTTCTAAAACCAGTAAGCATGTCCTAGGGTGAGTCTAAAAAATAATGTAAGGAGCTCTTATAAATCCATTAGAGGAAAATTAACTTCAATAGAAAACCAAGCAAACATAAGCTTCAATTTGCAGAAGAAGAAATATACAAATGACTAGTAATAATAATAGCTAATAATAGCTATTATTCATTGAGGTCTTCTTCTGTTCTGTGTCCTAAACAGTTTATAGGCATTATCTCATTTAGTCTTTTAGCAAGCCAGTACCATTTTTTAAATTTTACTATAGCGAACACTTACACAGTGCTTATGTGCTAGGTACTCTCTAAACACTTTACTTAAATTGTACTCATTTTTTAGATATGCAAACAGATGATGAGAATTGAGCAATTTACACAAATAGTCGAGTCAGTCTTTGAACTCAGGACTTTAGATCCTGTGTTTTCTGACTACTACTCTATATTGCATTACTGTAAAACAAATGTAATATTTTCCTGTTGTTTTAATCTTATTTTTAAATTTCAAAAGCAGTACACGATTGCATTAACAAATCTGAACAATGCAACAGTGTGTAAAATAAAAATAATTACATTACTTATACTCTGAAATTCTATGCCTCAAAGTGAGCAGTTATTGACAGCTTGGTAGGAATTCTCTAAGACTTTCAAGAAAGGAACGTATTTTAAATGAGATATTATTTTTCTTTGTATAGTGTGTGTATGTACTAGTGCTACCACTATTGTATATGTGGATTGTAGCTCTGTGGGGAGTGAACACTGGTGTACTGGTGATGCGGGGCTAAATTGGTACAGTGTAACTGGTGGAAAATGTGACTGTGTGTATCAAATACTTAAATGTATCCATTAGACATTTTTCAAGGAATTATTTCTAGAAAAAATAGTACAAATGCCCCTAGATTTTTAAGATGTATGCGTAAAGATGTGCACTGCAAGGTTTATAATGGTAATGACAAAACCGGAAACAAACAAAGCCCCCTGTTTCTGACAGCCCTTGTCTGATCTGTACAGGTTTGAAGAAGTACAGTATGTTACTATATAGTCAGTTAAATAATGGTAGAATTACAGATAATTTGTTTTCTTTGTAAGATGTATCAGAGTAGATTTTAGAATTTAAAAAACTTGACTGTCCACCCTAAGAAATAACTTAATTTCCTGAAGTCACAGCCTCCTCATTGAAAATCACTATAAAAAGCTGTGCAGATTAATATAGCACCTGACACTCAATAAATAGCTGCTATTATGATTACTATCTCCATTATTTTCCAGTTGACATTTTTTGGTAATCAGAAATAAAATAGCAAACCTTATGTCATATTAACTACCAATTCTTAGAAGCAGCTGGCATAAATTCAGACATTCTGGCTCTCTGTGAACTTGAACAAGTGCCTAAATTTTTAAAACACCCATATCTTCAAAATGGATATACCAATCAAAGTGCCAAACTATAAGGGTTCTTTTGAGGAGCAAATGAGATAAAGTAAATATAAATTATTTGAAAAAGGAAAGTATTATACAAACACATTTAGTGTAGGAAGCTGGTTTTAAGCGTATTGCTAGATTATCTTAATGCCTAGCACAATTCTTGATATCTAGGGAGCGTACATTTCTTATTTACATATTTTTGAATTTATAAATTGTACATTTTCTTGCTGCATATTTAAAGTTTGATGTGAGTATAATTGTTTGATATGGAAATCATGAGCTTTTCCGTTTTTTCCAGCCTCCATTATTATAACAGAAAAACTGTTTTTTAAATTTGTGTTCATTTTGCCCCTTTTTTCTTATCTTAGGAATGGAACATTACTAAGCTTTCAATTGAGTATGATTCTGAGCCCTTTGGAAAGGAACGGGATGCAGCTATTAAGAAACTGGCTATGGAAGCTGGAGTAGAAGTAATTGTACGAATTTCACATACATTATATGACCTAGACAAGTAAGTATTTTTTCTTGTTTTTATTATAGTAAAGTGCACATAATATTTTTCACCTTAAGCATTTTTAAATGTATAGTTCAGTAGTAGTAAGTACCTAGACTAATAAGTTTTAACCTATGGGACATAGGTTTGTAAAATGGAAATAACATATACATAATAGAGTTGTGGGAGAATTAAATAAATGTATATATTAATCCCTTACTATAACAGCTATGATTTTTACTAACCCAGTGATAGATGCCAAACTTATAGACATAGTGCATAAGATTAAAATACTGAGATTTTTAGTTTGAAAACTATTAAGAATATAAAAACTCTTCTTGACTGTTCCGACTCAGCCTATTGTTGGTCTTCCCTTTCTGGGCTCTTAGCAATATTAATTTTATAGTTTATATGATACATAGGCATAAACTGCCTTGCTTTATTTTGTATGATTGTCTTAACTTATTTTACATCATGTGTGTATATCTCGTCTATCTTGATTTTAAATCCAGATGCAAATTGCGTGAAATATTACTTTGTATAGGTGTAGTCCTCTGAAAACTGGCATAGTATTGCATTTTTCAAAGTGTATGTCTTGAAATACCAATCCTTAATGATGCTTTGTCCAACAAAGAGTCTGTGATCAAGTTTAAATTTAGGAAGTATTACATGCTGTGAGCTTTGAAGGTTCAAAAGATTTGTTAACTTATGAACCTTTAGCCTACTCATGTGCTTATAAGTGCTGAATTCTCAAAATCTATGTACCTTTTAAGTTATTTTACTTTTTAAGTTTCTTATACATTTAATTAAGTTAATAAAGTTAATTGTAACTAACATGACAAAAATGGTGATTTGATTCAGCAAGGGACTTATTTGATATTAAACCAGAAGTCATATATCTTGTAATAAACTTGCCTTCTAGTTTAGTTTACCAGTTTTCTTAACTTTGAGTTGATAGCAAGAAGGAGGCAAAACAGGATAAGAGCACTTGCTTCTACATGGAAGACTCATGTTATGCAGAAAATTGGATTATTTATTGGATTGGGTGTGAATATTAACCACATATAATCCATCATAAAGCAATGTAGCATATAGAAAACATTTTTCTAAGGTTTTTTTTTGTTTTCGTTACATAGTTAGCAGTAGTGTCATCGCAGTATTATTAAGTTGACAAATTTCACTATGACCCTATGTGTAAACCCAGAGTCTTACACCAAAGCAAAATTACTAAAATCAGAGAATCTAGTCTCTATGGTGATTATTTCTTGCACAGATAATTAATACATAGTCTATGTGGCATAATGAAAAATGTACAGTATTTGGATTAAGAAAAACCTAACTTGTTATTTATTAGCTATGTGATCTTGACTAATTTATTTAGCTCTCTTGGTAGGCTTTAGTTCCTGACCATAAAATGATGGAGTTGGGTTTCACCAGTAATTCTTTATTAAGGCTAAATACTAAGCAAATGGCCATAGTGAGAAACAATAATTTGTTATTTCCAGAGCATCTTAATTCAAAGTACCATTGGCAAAGGCTAATCTTTCCTTAGGTACAACTTGATTGAAGCAATTAGTGATCAGAAGTAAACATAAGTATGTACATAAGATACATGAGATATGTATATAAAATACACATGCCAACATTTTTAACAAAAGCGAGAGCACAATAGAAAATATCAAGTGATTATCACTACAGTAATATAAAACTTTAATAAGACTTGTTTGCTTTTTTTGGTATTTCTTAGATTTTAAAAAAATTGTTCAGTTACAGTTACACCCATTTTTTGCTCATTACTGTCCCCTGCCCTGCTCACCCCCCCCCCCCATGTTTAATCCCTCCGCCCCCACCTTCATTGTCTTTGTCCTTAGGTCCTTTATACGTGTTCCTTGACTTGACCCTTCCCCTTCTTCCCCTCACCCACCACAGTTATCCCCCATCCCTCACCCCTCCCCTCTGGTCACTGTTAGTTTGTTCTTTATTTCCGTGACTCTGGTTCTATTTTGCTTGCTTGTTTGTTTTGTTGATTAGGCTCCACTTATAGGTGAGATCATATGGTATTTGTCTTTTACTGCCTGGCTTATTTCACTTGGCATAATACAAAGGGTAGGAGTTCCTTCTTTCTCTCTGCTGGGTAGTATTCCATCATGTAAATGTACCATAGTTTTTTGATCCATTCATTTACTGATGGGCACTTAGGCTGTTTCTAGCACTTGGCTCTCGTAAATTGTGCTGCTGTGAACACAGAGGTGCATAGGTTCTTTTGAATTAGTATTTCTTGATTGTTAGGGTATAATCCCAGCAGTGGAATTGCCAGGCCAGAAGGCAGTTTCATTTTTAGTTTTATTGAGGAAATTCCATACTATTTTCCACAGTGGCTACACCAGTCTGCACCAACAGTGCACTAGGGTTCCCTTTTCTCTACAACCTTGCCAGCACTTGTTTGTTGATTTGTTTATGATGGCCATTCTGACCAGTGTGAAGTAGTATCTCATTATGGCTTTAATTTTGCATCTCTCTGATGGCTAGTGAAGCTGAGCATCCTTTCATATATCTCTGAGCCCTCTGTATGTCCTCCTTGGAGAAGTGCAGAGATTCTTGGAGCTGAGTTATATTTTTACATTTCCATATTTTTGTGTTACTGCCTTCAGACTAATTTAGCCGCTTGGTTTTTTTCACTCAGAGGTGCTTAATGCCCTTTATCTTAAAGGTTTTGTGTAGTTTTGACACCTAGGAGATGTCTAGAAAATGATTTTTAGATTCATTAACCATTTTTTCACAAGTTTCTGTGACAAGTTTTCTGTCACAGAAAATTTCCTGGTCATTCTACTAGAAGTTTTAAATAATTTTATCTACTTTATGATTTTTAAGCCTTTTCAGAGCTTATCAACCAAAATATATTATCTTTTTTTATACTAACTTGATCTTACTAACTTTTGTAATAGGATCATAGAACTCAATGGTGGACAACCACCTCTTACTTATAAAAGATTCCAGACACTCATCAGCAAAATGGAACCACTAGAGATACCAGTAGAGACAATTACTTCGGAAGCGATAGAAAAGTGCACAACTCCTCTGTCTGATGACCATGATGAGAAATATGGAGTCCCTTCCCTGGAAGAATTAGGTGGGTATACATGGTAAAAAGGTGAAATGTAAGAGCTAATAAATCATTCGGAAAATCTCACTTCTGAATTGACATGTACTTTGCACTAACAGAGTAAGGAAGCTAGGAGAAGAAAATAGAAGAAAGTCAAACTAAGAAGTGGTAAATCTGTGCCTTATTTATGTGTTGTAAAATACGTGATCTCTCCGTTGTCACCTTAAAGTATACATTGTAAAGAGTAGAGAACATGTTATGTCTTTCATACGTGAGAATCCAGGCTCATCAATTCATTTTGATGCTATCATAATTTTTTGTGAAGTAACTTTTCTTGTAATTATTGTGGCTAAATAAAAATGATTTATATTCCAGAAGGATGACATTTTTTCAATGTGTGTATTTATTTATTTATTGTAGGTTTTGATACAGATGGTTTGCCCTCTGCAGTTTGGCCGGGCGGAGAAACTGAAGCCCTTACGCGTTTGGAGAGGCATTTGGAAAGAAAAGTATAATGATATAGATCACGCTTATATTTCCAAGTTGACATTTAAAACATAATTTCACTATTTTTAAAAACAAAAAACGGGCTGTTAAAGGAGGAATTTAGAGAAACTTAAAATAGCACAAACCTAATTATTTGAATATGAACAGCTGTCTCTTCATTTAATAGCATTTTCCTCCTCTTCTGATTATTTCCTTTTTAGCTGTTGCCAACACTGTCTCTTCTACTCTTTTTCTGTAAGTTGGTATCTGATGACCATAACTTTGAAACTGGGAGAGAGTTCTTCTGTTTCACCTTTACGTCAGTGTCAAAGAGACAGGTGCATGGTGCTGTCAGCTTTGTGTTAGGAATTGGAGGGTAATTTTTCACATGGATATGTGGTACATGAGGATGGCTGAAACACAAAGAAAAATGCTCACTTTTATCCTTTCTTATTTTTTTTATTAAAACATATCATTTGTGTCTAGAATAATAAGATTTTATTCCCCAAGAACTATGTAATAGTTTTTAAATTTTTTAATCTAAATTTAAAAGTGGAAAAGTTAGCATAACTCTCTGTGTATGTTTTCAGGCCTGGGTGGCAAACTTTGAAAGACCTCGAATGAACGCGAATTCCCTGCTTGCCAGCCCTACTGGACTCAGTCCTTACCTCCGATTTGGATGTTTGTCATGTCGGCTGTTTTACTTCAAACTAACAGATCTCTACAAGAAGGTATTAACTGAAGCTGGATTTTATTTTTCAAAACATATATTTTTTAATTGCTTATAATACTTCTTTGCTTTTTAATCTTAGGTAAAAAAGAACAGTTCCCCTCCTCTTTCCCTTTATGGGCAACTACTATGGCGTGAATTTTTCTATACAGCAGCAACAAATAATCCACGCTTTGATAAAATGGAAGGAAACCCCATCTGTGTTCAGATTCCTTGGGATAAGAATCCTGAGGCTTTAGCAAAATGGGCAGAAGGCCGGACAGGTTTTCCTTGGATTGACGCCATCATGACACAGCTTCGGCAGGAGGGCTGGATTCACCACTTGGCCAGACACGCAGTTGCTTGCTTCCTGACACGAGGTGACCTGTGGATTAGTTGGGAAGAAGGAATGAAGGCAAGTGTTCTGAGTAATGTAGCATGGTCTTATTTCGAAGGACTTTGTACCTTAGTAAAACTGTTTTTAGAAGTTGTCGATTGTGTAGATTCATTTATAGTCTAGTTTTTCAGTGGACAAAGCATTTAATTCCCAGAATATCATCCACTCCTGGAGACAGAATAGTGTAATCAGACAGGAGATACGGCAAAAACTGATTAGTTAATCTTGAGTCATTTGTACAACTAAACCAGCCTAGCCATCAAGGGAAGTATAAGATTTAACACTGGGCTTAATTGCATCAACATATATTTAGGTGATCTTTTCTGTCACAGGTAGGATTCACCCAAGAGTTTTTAGAAATAATGAATTTATAATATAAATTTTAAAATATATATCATTTTACCTTACTTCAACAGCACAGCTTTATAGTAATACTTCTGTTATGTAAAGTGGAGCATACTGCATTTTGTGGCCTCATCTTGTGCTTGTACGTAGGTTTTGCCTTCTTACCTGTATCATAAATTTCCCCTCTCCAAGGACCATTTCTGATCTTGTGCTTTTTTTGCATCTGTTACACATGATCTGTACAGAGTTGTCCATGAGGTAGATGTGTAGCACACACTTCATGAATTTATTTTAAAAATCATTAAATATTTTAATTCTATTTTCCTTTTAGATTAAGAAATTCCAAACTTAAACTCTATAATGCCAGTGCATTTCTAAAGGTCATCTATATTCGGATGCTCCCTTTGTCTGGCCAGTGTACCAAACTGCTAAGATTCTGTCAGTGGCTGACTTGGAAGCTCTTTTGCTTTCTTGAAAGTGTTTACTCTTTTATTTTCTTCCATTTTTTGATCTCCTCATATTCCTTTTAAATCAGTGACTTGAATACTTTTTTTACCCTCCTCCCACATAACACTGCAAAGGTTAGAAAGGTAAATGCTATTCACAAATCCACTTACATAACTGGTATGTTTCTTTACCTGAAATTACTCATTCTAGAACAAAACCTAGGCAAGGAAGCTAACTTTGGAATGTTTAGTTTTGCAGTTCTGTGCTAGATTTTCTTTGTCTTAACTTTTGATCTGCAGACACCTGGAAAATGCTTGCTTTGAGAGTTATGTGTGTGTAAACTAACTCATTACTGTTACTTCTGAAGGTATTTGAAGAATTATTGCTTGATGCAGATTGGAGCATAAATGCTGGAAGTTGGATGTGGCTGTCTTGTAGTTCCTTTTTTCAACAGTTTTTTCACTGCTATTGCCCTGTTGGTTTTGGTAGGAGAACAGATCCCAATGGAGACTACATAAGGTAAATCGGGAGTGATTATTTTTCAGTTTAGAATAACTAATCCAGGAAAAGCTTTTCATATTTAAGCAACATTTAAAGCATACCCCACTCGTGATGGTCAGCAGAGATGAGAAGGGTAAACAAGTCATTTAAATGCTGTTGACTTGATTTTGGTCTTTCATTGCTAATAAATAAATAGTTTATTGCAATTGGCTTATAGTTCATTTTATGAATAATTTTTCTCCCTTCTACCAAAAGGCGATATTTGCCTATCCTAAGAGGCTTCCCTGCAAAATACATCTATGATCCTTGGAATGCACCAGAAGGTATCCAAAAGGTCGCCAAATGTTTGATAGGCGTTAACTACCCTAAACCAATGGTAAACCACGCCGAGGCAAGCCGCTTGAACATTGAAAGGATGAAACAGATCTACCAGCAGCTGTCACGCTACAGAGGACTAGGTATGTCAGTGACTGCCCTGGATTTGTGTCCTTGGCAGCTGTTTATGTTCCTATCCTTGACTTGATCTTGACCATAATTTAATAAGACAATTTTTCCCTTCAGGTCTTCTTGCATCAGTGCCTTCGAATCCTAATGGGAATGGAGGCCTCATGGGGTATTCTCCTGGAGAAAATATCCCAGGCTGTAGCAGCAGTGGAAGTAAGTGAAAAGAAAAATCCTGCACTAGACATCAAGAGATTAATAATCAAATATTTATTTATTAAGCCTCACAATTAATTTGATTAAAAACAAGGCAGCATGTGAGGAATAAATAAATATTGGCACTTACTTATGCATCCCTTGCTTGCTTCTTCTATGTGCCGTGACTAGGAATCAAACCCACAACCTTGATGTATCCAGACGATGCTCTAACCAACTGAGCTACCCGGCCAGGGCTGATTTGAATTGTTTAATTCTCATCTGGCCGGGCCTTATAAATATCTCCAGATACATGCTTCAGATAGGCACCGAGGGAGGAGAGTGGAGTAGAGAGGGACAAGAGGTAAAGGAAGGGTGAACATCTCACTGCTGCCCTATTTGCCTTTATGGTCAAGTGTCTGTTGTCATTCACTAGAGAAGTGTTTTTAGAAGATGACTACCAGTAATTTTGCCTTTGAACAGTCAGTATTTCTATGACACTAAATTTAAATTTTCCCATTGGGCATGTGATTTTTGGATCATATGAAGAATTGAGGTTTAGTCTTAAAAAGCATACATGGTCTTATATACAAATACTAAAGTTGGATTTGTAGTCTTAATACATACAACTTGGAATTTATTTTAAGTAATTTTACTGTGTTTTAAACACTAATAGGTTGCACTCAAGGGAGTGGCATTTTACATTATGCTCATGGAGACAGTCAGCAGACTCACCTATTAAAGCAAGGTAGGAGGAATAAAGCATTTGAGCACACTGTTCTTCTCACCTTTCCTGTTTTTAAACATACATTTTTGAAATGTGTAGGGAGAAGCTCCATGGGCACTGGCCTTGGCAGTGGGAAGCGTCCCAGTCAGGAAGAAGACACGCAGGGTATCGGCCCCAAAGTCCAGAGACAGAGCACTCATTAGGTAAACGTTTCACAGCCCTGCTTCCTGCTTGAGTGGAGTCTGTAACCAACAGAAATTAAGACAATTTCCCAAATGGAGCTAACCTCTGTTTTCAAACCAGAAAGGCATAAGTTTTTCAATGATTATTATGAAATCAGTTCTTAAATAAGAGAAATGCATCTGTATTGAACTAAGTGCTACACTCGGTTTTATGGTCATTTTAATCAATGATATTTAAATTTGAAAAGCTTACAAATTTATGCTTAAGTTTTCTTTCTCAGAAAAAGACATCTTTTCATTTTCTGTGACCATGAGTCTAAAACAATGAGAGTGACTTTTTAATTGTAGTGGTAGTAATACAATCCCTTTACGAGCTTTCCCCAATATCTTTGCCTCTTAAGTCTCTATAAATTTCTTTGATCTGTTGTGATGCTTCTAAAATCTAAATTCCTGCCAGTTTGGAAATAGTTTAATTTTTTTAAATGTTGGCCCTTTGAAAGTATCAAAAAGCCATGCCTATCTTCAGTTCAGTTAGCTATGGGACACTATTTTGTGATTTAAATTTATATGAAAAGTATTTATACAGTGCATTTGACAGTTTTTCAAGTCTTTCATTTCTTCAGTTACCTTAAGCTAGTTTTTAAAAATTGTTGTTTTTTTATTGCCAGCCTTATTAGACTGTAAATTTCTTGAAAAGCAGTAAGCAGTTAATCAAATTTTTATCATTTATTTCCTTGCAGTCAAGGTTTACACAATTTCTTTTCCCCTTAAATCACAGAAAACATTCAGGAGGAATACTGTTGCAGCTGAAATTGGTGGAGTTCAATACTTTTTTCAGTTAAATTATTTTAAAATGTTCTTCATTGATGGAAAGCAGTTGTTTCCAATGACATTTCTGTGGTTTTTAACTTTTTAATGAATTTCACATAGGACACATGGAATTTGTATATAAAGAACTTGGTAAAAAAGAATTTGCTTAATGTAAATATAAATGACACAATTAGAATAGACCCATCAGTATATTTTTGATAATTTTTCATGTATGGTAAAAGTTAAAGTGGCAAACTGATATTCTAATACAACAAAATCAAAGTTTTGAGAGTCAATGTGGGAAAGCAGCAGGTTTTTAGACTTTCTTAAAAGACTTTGTTAAAATTTTCTTGACATCACTGTTTGCTTTAACTTTGCGCTCTGTGTTAGGAAATGTGTGCAATACAAACCGGTAGTCACAGCCCTGTTATTACAGACAGTACATGTGTTACGGCTCCTCGTGTGCCCCTTCGACCAAACTCGTGAAAGTGTCACGTGTTAAATTTTCTTTGTCTCCCTTCCCTTGTTCATTTATAGCTAAGTGACCTTTATTATTAAAGTATATGCATATACAGAATCTTGTGTATTTGATGGTTGTTTTTCTTTTTTTACTTTGTTTGAGGAAAGGGGTGGAACACTAGTTTGTGAGATGTGATTATACATTGGAGAGATTCTGGTATAAACCACATCATCATTTTGAATGAAGGAACAGCTAACATATAATTGGGTGGGCAAGAGTAGGCTTATAGTTGTGAGTACACGAAGCACGGTTAATTTTTTGTATCATTATTTATTAAATATTGTATTATTTTCCGTATGAACAACTGTAAACCTACTTTTGCCCACCCCTGTATTTAGTAAAATAGTATTTTTCAAAATTATTCCAAATATAAATAGTGTCTTTCAAATACTTTGTACTTTTAAAAATAAAGTTATCTGCAAGAAATATGTAAAACCAAAATGGTTTTTTTGAAGTAGTGGGGATTGTAACTATGAGTGAGTGTAGGGTAACAGGATAAGAGTGTGGACTCCGACCTGGCTCTCACGCTCATGAGCGTTGAGGTCTTGGGCGAGTGATTAACCTTGTGTGCCTTCTCCGTTCTCATCTACCAGCAGGGATGAGAGTGGTGTCCACTTCATAACGCATGTGAAACGCTCATGACAGTGCCTGGCATATGGCAGGACGTCCTAGGTAGATGTTAGCTGCAGGCTCGCCGTGCTGCATAGCTCATGGGCTGTTGCAGCTCTGGTTAGCTGCCATTATTGTTATTACTATTGTTCTTTTCCTGTCTCTGGTGGGCTAATTCTTGCCATTATAATGAGTAGCCTTTTGCTTTTCCATCTTTAGTAGTGATAGATGTTCAGTGTGACAGTCATATATGTAAAGGTCACTCAAGATAAAGCTGAGTCAAAAATCCAGAAACAACAACAAATTTTAGATGATATGTGTTTTAACGTATACTGGATAATGAATTAATGGATCAATAAATTCTGTTACTGAGAAAAGAAAAAATGTGCCTCATCTTCCTTCACCACTGTTAATAAGCAGTAATCATTTGTTTCTCATACTATCCATATTTCACATCATACTCTTTGGACCTGAATGCACTGTACAGAATTGAAAAATTCACACACCTAGGATTTGCCATCACCATCCAGGGGAATAAAGATTCAGTTTTAATATGAATAACTATTTCAGTAAAAGAACACTATTTCAGCAAAGCCACTGATATGGGGGCGGGATTGTCTTGCAAAGCTTTTTCAGTTTGGTCTAAATTGTGACTAACAAGTCACTGAAGGGGAAAAAGGCATTAACCAGTGTGCTCCCACTGAGCAGATGCAGTGTTTGAATACAGTGTTCTCCCCCTCACTGGAAGGGTTGTGTTCTAAAAACCCCGCCCAGTCCTGTGGCTCAAGTGGGTTGGGCATTGCCCTGCAAACCAAAAGGTCACCCATTTGATTCCTGGTCAGGGAACATGCCTGGGTTGCTGGCCAGATCCTTGGTTGAGGGACATGAGAGAGGCAGCCGATTGATATTTCTCTCTCTTTCTCCCTCCCTTCCCAGATCTCTAAAAATAAATAAAATCTAAAACAACAACAACAACAAAACCCCCTGCCCATTGATAGTTGAGGGAGGGATTCAAGACCTTTTATTCACTCAGCAAATATTTCTTGAACTCTTACTATCAAAAACTGTGCTGGCCACCTGGAAAAATTGAGTTGAGAGAACCAACTTTTGAATGAACCTTTGCAAAAACCCTTGTATTTTTCACACTCATTTAAAATAAATTAGTAAAATTTGGATATAGAAGGCTGATAACTTATTTTTAATGCATCTCTTACATACTAAAAACTTTAGGATCTTCCCAGTTTCAAGCATGTGTGATTTTCTTATAGATGATATGCATAGTACTAGGTTTTTTCCCCCATTTCTCCATCCAAGCTTTTTTTCTTCTGATTTTATGGTCCTAGAAATACACTATTTAAATATTTAGAATGGAAAAGTCTTTGGGTAACATTTAACACAGCTGGCATAGCCGAGTTGGTCATTTTCAATGTTGATTTCAGTTCTCAGGGTCATGGGCATTATCATTCCTTACACACAGTCATGTGGAGCCCTGGTGCAAGCTGCCAGCATCCTAGTGCCCTTCTCTCCTCCCTCTCTCCTGACCTTAGAGTTCTAAGGCCTGAATTTACATCCCTTAACTTTCTCTTCTCTGTATCCTACCCTAACCCCCTTTCCTAAATGCATGTGAACCACTTTGGTTCGTCTGGACCCCAAGTCACTTTATTTCAGGAAAAACTGTTCAATAAACCATGAATAATAAGGCTTTTGTATGAGGGTAACTTAGAGGGAATTGATCTTGAGACAAGGAGCCGGGACTCTTGCTGCCACTCTGGAATTAAAGTCAAGCGTCAGTCCCTCAACAAAGCCTATTGAGCACAAATTGGTTGCTAAGTCTAGACTCAAAGATTTAGTTAGCGTTAGTATTTCCAGAGTCCTTACCATGTGCCAAGCATTGTTCATAGGAAACTAAATTCATCAGTATCTGCAAGAAGTTTGCTCCATAAGAGGAGAGGGCAGTGCGGAAGAATTTCAGCGCTGTAGGTTAAGGCTGTGTTAGAACTGTGCACAGTGCACTGTGGAGACACTACACGGGGACCTCCAGCCTAGGAAAATCACACCGCTTTCCTGACTCCAGCTCCACGCACGAGCATAGGACAACTAGGCAGGGGAAGGGCATCCTGTCCTTGGAAACATTTAACTCTGCTTGCCAGGGATTATGCTATTGGTTGTTAATGTCTTTGTCCTCCACTAGACTGTAAACTCCCCGAACAGGAAGTGTGTTTTATTCCTCATTGTCTTGTCCACAGCCGCCTTCTCATTACTGCTTGACACTCTTGGCACTTAATAGACATTGCCATAAACATCTATCGATTGATAGATAAACGCGAGAGTAACTGGGATAGACGTTAAGCTTGACTTGAAGGAGAAATGAAATCGGCATCACAACTAGTAATTGGAATGTAAACCATGTGACAGTTAACAGCACAAATACGTAGGTGAGGGTGGCAGGAGGGAGGTTTTTAAAGACGTCGTCAGCCACCTTCTCTGACTGCTGAGTGGAGGACTGGGACAGTGGGCAGTAAAATGGGAAGGCTCCATACGTTCCAAAGAGATTGGGGGCTTTTTAAAACTACCTTTCTTTTGTAAATTAGTTATTTGCCTATCGAATTATTTTGGGAATCCAGAATGGCTGTAGTTTAAAGATGCAGTGGTTTTTTAGTTAATTGTACCTCTGTGACATTCCCCAAGAGACACAGCAACCGAAACTCCAATTTTTCTCAAATGCTGGGAAGGAAAGAGTGTGAAAATGCGAGAGGCAATGATTGGGGGTCAGGCTAAATTCCCTGGAAAGCCAATCCACACGCCACCCGGCCTTGCGGCGCCCAGGAATGGCGCAAGGGTCACGTGACCCCGTGTCCCATGCTCTGATTGGCTGCGTTGGGGCTGGTGTCAACGTGCTCAAGGACCTCAGGTGCTCTGATTGGCTGCTGGTAAAGGGGCAGGTGCCCCCGTTGGTGCCCCTGGGGGAAATTCGTGAGTTGCTGGAGGTCCTGAGTCCTGGACCCGCTCCTCAGAAGCTTCGCCCGCGAGGGAGGAAAAACAGAGCCGGGGCGGGACTCACTGCTCCTTGAAGGGAAGGACACCGACAGGTGAGTCGCGCCCTTTCTCCGCCCCTGGGAGTGATCGCCCCTTGCACGACTGTGGCAGGGTCGGGGGTCGGGGGCCGCCCACTGAGAAGGTGGACCCCGGGCCCATCGCTCGGCTTCTCCTGCCTGGCCTGTGCGGATGTCTGGCGCCGCTGGTCGGAAGTTTCTGGGGAAACGCTCAGGCCCCACTCGAGGGGTGTGTGACTTTCGATTGCCACCCAAGATTTTCTACTTGGGACTTCATTTTTTCCTGTTTATATCCATTGGAGTTAATGTGAAATTCAGCAGTTCCTGCATATCATAATTGAAATTACCGGTGTTACAGAGGGGCCCATATTAATTATGAAGATTATGCACATTACAGAAGTGGATTTCACTCCTCAAAAATTTCTAATAAATACGAAGTATCACATTGCGTCTTACCATACATTTATGAAGAGCATTATTATTATGCGTAGGGCACAGGGCTAAGGGCTGGACTCTGGAGCCAGGCTTTTGGGTTCGAATGCCCTTTATTAGGTGAGCAACCTTGGACAGGTTACTTTATGTGTGACTTTATCGGCCTTCTCAGCTTTAAAATTGATTGTCATATATCCGAATACTCTGTGATTTATGGTACTAACTCATTTCATCTTCACAGCCACCCAGGATGGGGTGTCCCCATTTTTCCCCCGATGCTCAACCTGAGGCACTGAGAGGTGAAATGACTTCCTCCAGTCACGACAAAGCATGAGCAGGAATTAAGCCCAGGCAACCCACAGTTTTAGCCAGTTCATTAAGTTGTCTCTTGAACTTGGTTTGCTCGTTCAGTTTCAGTTGACAAACACTAATTTTATCCCTCTGTGGACCAAACTCTTTTCTGGGTACAGGGATGAAACAGAAGAGCTGTCACACCGAGCCCTCCCAGCGCTTGCAATCTCGTGTTCATAGTTGGGCTGCAGGCTCTGAATCCTGCTAAAATCTTTTGCAAAATGAGTGTTGGTCTCTTCTTCTTTCTTCTTCTTCTTTTTTTTAAAGAGTCTGTGGCTCCCATCACATTCTCTGATGGGTCTGTGATCCAGAGGTATGAAGAAATGTTTTAGCAAAAAAGCTAGTGTTAGCATAATGCCTGACACATTGGGTGAGCTTAATATTAAACCAAAAAAACTGCTGGTTGAATGAATGACAAACTTAGAGGAGCATAGTGAGTGCGACAGTAGGATCAAGAGCAGGTTGCTGGGGAAGACCACGCACAAGGCCACCTGCCTGGGAATGCTCCCTAGACTCCCCAGTGCCAGCCAACTGCGGGGTAGGGAAGCAGTTCATTGGAACGTGACTAGTCCGGGCCCTCGTGGAGGGCGAGACAGAGACAATACAGGAACAGCTGCAGTTAGGACAGTGGCACAGAAGAGCTGTCTGTGGTTCTATGGGAGCCTGTAGTAGAGACAGGAGTCCCCATCTGTTCGTGAAGGTCAGGGAAGTTTCCCTGAGGGAGTGACACTTTACCTAGGAGTTAGGTAAAGTGGGGCACGGGGACTAGCCCTCAGTCTCTGAAAACCCTGTGGTGGGGACAGGTAGAGTGGCAGGGACTGACAGGAAGCAGATGTGGCTGGGGAAGGGGAAGGAGGTAGGGAGGGGTGGGTATTGGATGGCGAGGCCTTGTAGGCCATGTGAGGTATTTTCATTTTGTTTTATGTCTCTATCCTAAAGTGCCATTGAAAAGTTGATTGCAGGGAGGTGACAGAATCACTTTTGAGGAGAAGCCCAAGTGGATTAACTGAAGCTCCAGACAAGGACAGGGTCTCTGGGGGCGAGGGGGTGGGGACATAAGAAGGGTAGAGGGTCTAGAACCAATCTCTGAGATGAGCCTGCGAAGGAGACAGATAGATGGAGGCCAGCTGGGTGCGGAGGAAGAGGGAGAACTGAGACAGTGGGAGTCTCGAAAGTCAAGTGAGAGCGTATTACGGGGAAGGTGGGCAACTGTGCTGAGGGCTGCAGAGGTCTAGAGAGGAGCGAGAGCTACTCGTTGGTTCTAAGCACATGGTAGTTGTCTCTATCGGGAGCTATGTAAGTAGGAGCAGCGGAAATGGCGAGAGAGAAGGATCTGCAAGAATCAACCACGGGGAAGAGGGAAATAGGGGTTTAGTTGGAGCAGCAGTGAGAGGGATAGCCATTGAGGTGAGGGTAGGAGCCTCAGTGTGGAGGATACAGCTGAAGGGGTGACTGAGAAAGACGGGCTCCAGGGATCTCAGCCCAGATGGGCCGGGATAAGCACCAGGGCCGGGATGACCCTGGGTGATGAAAGGTGTAAATGCAGGGAAGGGAAGATAGCAGAAGGTTTAAGTTTGGTGTGGAGTTGCTCTCCTTTCTTTGTAGAAGTGAGAGGCAAGGGCGCTGGTTAAGAGCGAAGGAGGGAATGGTGTTGGGGGGAAGCTGGAGGTCTGACTTGAGATTTGACATATTTGGTGGGGACTGTGCAAGAGTGAGTTGACCAGAGATCATTTCAGAATGGTCTGGCAAGGCCAGAAATTAGCCTGTTCACTCATTCAAGTGGCTGCAAAATAGCAGGGAAGTAAGGATGGAAGCTAGCTAGAAACAGAAGCTACATTTAATGTGTAACAGAGGAGGCATCACAAATCATGGGGAAGGAAAGGATTGTTCCAAAGTGGTGCTTGGAGGTAAACCATTGATAAAATCTATTTTGATTCGCAGCTCACAGTCAGAAGTTTTAAATGAATTAAAGGAACTAACCTTTAAAATTGAAACAAAACTGTAGAGGGAAAGATGGGTGAATTTTATCCAGTCATCTGGTGCTTAAAAGCAGTGGGAATCATACAGAAAGGGAAACCGCCCTGGCCCTTGGGCCACTTCACATCAACCACTTTGTCCTGGCTCGTGCTGCACTGTGTGTGGACCGTGAAGACGCTGTGTCAGTGGAATCAGCCAGACACAACAGGACAAGTACTGTCCGATTCCACTCACATCAAGTACTATGAACAGTAGTAGTACTATGAACAGTAGTAGTACTATGAACAGTACTATGAACGTATCAAGTTTCTATGAACAGGCACATTCATAGAAACGGAAAGTAGAGTGGACATCGCCAGGGGCTGAGAGGAGGCGTGTGAGATGAGTGTTTAATGGGTACAGAGTCTGTGCTTTGGGTAACAGAAAAATTCTGGAAATAGGAGTAGTGGTTGTACGGCGCTGTGAGTTGACTTAATGCCACCAGTGAAAAAAGACAAAAAGCAGGAATAGGTGATTCACAAAAGGCAATACAGATGGTCAAGTAATTTATGAAGAAAAGCTCAGTCTCACTAATAATCAAGTAAAATGAGGTTAAATTAGTGTAGTCATTTTCACATATCAGAATTATAATTGATGAGAGAATCACTCGTACTGCTGGTGAGATTGTCAGTTGAGATAGTTTTTCTGGGTAGTTCACACATCTCTTCACTAAGGGATTCTACTCCTAGGAATTCATCTTAAAGGAAGAAATAAGAAAGGTAGACAGATAATCAGGATATAGCAAAAAATTACAAAAAGCCCAACTGCTCAATACTAGGAAATAAATTACAAAATTATAGTATATCCATCCCACATATCATACACTCATTTTAAATATTTAGAGCGTTTTTGATGCCGAGGTTAGATATAGTGGATAAAATTAAAGAATAAATTATATGAACAGGGGTAGGCAAAAGCAGGTTTACAGTGGTGAGCACATGAAACAGTGTATTCTTCTATAATTTTCTATTAATGACTATGTTAATACGACTGTAAGCCTGCTGTTGCCCACCCCTGTGTAATGTCTGTTGGTCACAGAGGAGCCACCTTTGTACTTTCCACTTTTGTGGTCAACTGTGTGTGCTTATCAGAGACAGAGGGAGCGAGACAGACAGCTTCCGCTGTTCAGACAACTTACCCAGACGCACTGTAGTCCCCCCGGAGTCAGCAGAGAATGGGGGGACTTGGCCTCACTGGGCACGCACATCACGCCATGGTCAGTGTGGTTCTCATATTTAATGATCTGTCACTTTTCTATAACATAACCCCCAGAGGAAGCCAACCACTTTCTCTGGGGCTCAGTCAAACCCTGGGATCCGGTCCAGCCCCCGGGGGGTCCCCTGGCTGTGCTGGACTTCCCGGGAGGTGGTATGTTGGTATCCAGTGTGGTGCCTGCTTAAAAGATTTTCCAGGAAAATTATGAGTTTTTTGCTATTTTCACTTCATAGGCTGAGTTTAGAACCTAGCTCATGTATGAGGCAGATTTATAGCTTTAAAAATTACAATAAAGGGGACAAGGAGCGTAGGAAAAAATGGCCTTACACGTCAAAGTGTAAACCATTGTCTGCAGGCGATGAGATTATGAAAGACTTCCTTCACTCCCTTGCACTTCTCAGAATTTGGCAGATTCTTTGTGGGGAGACTATATTACTTTTATACGCAGTTATTTTTGCTTATAGAAAGCATTTAAAATCCAGTTTTCACGCTTTTCAGTTATTCTTTGTAAATAACGTACTTCTGTCTAAACTACAATTTAAATAGGATTTAAATTTACGATAAGGATTTTATAAAGCACCAGATGTTTCCTGGTAATGGCTGTCATGTATCCAGTGCTCACTGTGTGCCAGGCTCTGTACTAAACACCCGACGTGCATTTCAACCCGTGATACTGCCCCGAAGTTCACCTGCTGTTCTGTTTTACGGAGGGTGCTGTTGTTGTTGTAATGAATACTTATTGAACATGGACTGTGAGGATCTGTTCTAATTACTGCTTGTTTGCTTGTTTAATCTGAGGCTAAGCAACTTTCCCCTAGATAACCCACGAGGTAGGGCCAGCACCAGGCGTCGGCAGTTGGGCCGCAGAGCCCACACTCCCTCCAGCATGTGGTGTGGATGCGAGGCCCAGGCCCGTGGGGCCCCACGAGAGTGGGGTGAGGGGCTCCAGGCTCGATGTGCCCCTGCCCTTCCTGTATCTCCTTCCTGTTAAAATCTGTGGCCTTCTTAGGATGTTTTAAAATGCTTTATTATTTATATCTTGGCTATTAGAGAGTTATTTGAAGGAAACTGGCATTAGAAATTATCTGAGGAAAACTCTGGTTGAACCACCAGAAGTAAAACAGGAGCCATGCCTACAATTATTTTCGACCTTGCAAACACTAACTGAGCTAAGTAAACCAAAATGAGAACATGGTTACTTGTTGTTTTTCCTTAGAGAATCATCATTTATATGGATTTGTTAGGACAGGCTTGAAAGTGAAGAGTCCTTGGCTTATACAGCAAGGGTATTATTAAGGGCAGGGATGGGAAGTGGCTTTACAGTTTTTCTTCAAACCTACAAATAATAAGGGAAAGCTGTTAACTAGCTAGTACAGCTCAGTACTACGCTTTTGTGGTAGAGTCGAGACCCTTACCTCTCAGGGACTAAGAGTTAAAACAACGCACCGCATGTTCTCATCACCAGAAATACAAGAAGACAGTGCTGAAGGCTGCGGCGTGGCAGGCACAGTGCAGCCATCCCTGGGTACCTGCAGTTCTGAGGGGGGGGCCAGCTGGTCAGACCACCCTAAACGTGCTGTCCCCATTGCACAGCCCACACGCACCCCTACAGCTCCCTGGGGGCAGTCACGGGGCCTCTCTCATTGTACCTGGCTAGGACTTAAATAAATTACCTGATTTATTTGGGGTCATAGTTATTCAGCAAAAATATTTGCTCTGAAATATAAAAATAGATATGACCTTTCCCATTCTTAAAAAGTATTTGCTTCAAGGACTTCTGGCCAAGATGGAGGCGTAGGTGGAAATACTGTATCTCCTTGTACAACCAAGTTTAAGGACAACAAAGATTTAGAAACAAAAACACAACCAAAACAGACAGAAAAATTGAACTGTACCAAAGTCCGACAATAACAAACCATTCATCCAGACTGGTAAAAGGGGCAAAGTCGGTGGCTGGTGGAGAGGGGTCGAGGCAGGAAAAAGTGGTGGCTGCCAGACTGACCCAGGCGCACAGATGTGGGTTGGCAGATTCCAGGTGTGGGGTGGCAACGTGTGGACTCAATGAGAGCCCAAGGTAACTGGCTGACCGTGGTCACACATTTGCGTGTAGATAAACCAGGTGAAAAAACGGACAGTGAGACAGACCATGCAAACCAGGGCCCTGCAACGGGAATTAAAGCCTAAGAGCACCAATTGGAAAAACTTTTGGGGGTGAGGTGCCAGGAGAGGCTCCCAGCCTCACAGGAGAGTTCATTGGAGAGACGCATAGTACCCTAGAACATACACAAGCCCACATACCTGGGAACCAGCACCAGGAGGGCCCAATTTGCTTGTGGGAAGCGGCAGAGGGGACCGAAATCTGAGAGAGAGCAGAACAAATGCCATTCCTCCCTCTTTGACCCCACCCCTACATACAGCATCACAACCCAGCAACTGGGTTGACCCGCCCCAGTGAACACCTAAGCTTTCGCCTCTCATACCTAACAGGTGCAAACAGACCAAAACATTATGGCTCGAGAAGAAGAATAGCTCAAAGCCCCAGAGCCAATACTTCTAAGTGACCAAGAGATAGCCAACCTATCAGGTGCATAATTCAAAACACTGGTGGTCAGGATGCTCACAGAACTGGTTGATTTTGGTCACAAATTAGATGAAAAGGTGAAGGCTACACTAAGTGAAATGAAGGAAAATGCACAGGGAACCAATAGTGATGGGAAGAAAACTGAGACTAAAATCAATGGAGTGGACCAGAAGGAAGAAAGAAACAACCAAACAGAAAAGAATGAAGAAACAAGAATTCAGAAAAATGAGGAGAGGCTTAGGAACCTCCAGGACATCTTTACACATTCCAACACCTGAATTATAGGGGTACCAGAGGGGAAGAGGAAGAGCGACAAGTGTAAAACTTATTTGAACAAATAATAAAGGAGAACTTCCCCAATCTGGCAAAGAAAATAGACTTCCAGGAAGTCCAGGAAGCTCAGAGAGTCCCAAAGAAGTTGGACCCAAGGAAGAACATACCAAGGCACATCATAATTACATTTAGAATGGAAGGGCAGATAAAGTGCTTCTCAGATAAGATCAAATTCAAGGAGTTCATCATCACCAAGCCCTTATTATATGAAATGTTAAAGGGACTTACCTAAGAAAAAGAAGATAAAAAAGATGAACAGTGAAAGGACAGCAAACTCACAGTTATTAACAACCACACTTAAAGCAAAAGCAAACTAAGAGGACAGCTAGATCAGGAGCAGAACCATAGAAATGGAGATCACAAGGAGGGTTAGCAACTGGGGAGTGTGAGGAGGAGAAGGGGGGAGAAGGTACAGAGAATAATTAGCATAGACAGTAGGTAGAAAATAGGGGAGAGGGCAAGAATAATATGGGAAATGTAGAAACTAAAGAACTAGTGACATATGGACATGAATTAAAGTGGGGGAAAGGGGGAGGGGTGTGCAGGGAGGAGGGGAGTGAAGGGGGGAAATGGGACAACTGTAATGGCATAATCAATAAAATATACTCAAAAAAGTATTTGTTTCAGTTAAACATCATCTTAAAAAGGTAAAATGTTAAAGAAAAAGAAAAACCTGTGTGTGTGAGTAAGTAAGTGATTACATCTCTTCAGGAGAAATATTGGGACTTCCTCCAAGATGGAGGCATAGGTGGAGACGCCGTGCTTTCTCACACAACCAAGTTTAGAGACAACAAAATATTAGCAACAGAAAACACAGCTAGAACACAGAAAATTGAACTTTTCGGAAGTCTGATAACAACAAATTCTTCAGCCTTACCAGTAAGAGGGGCGAAACCAGCAGCTGGCGGAGCGGGGTTGCACGGGAAAACTCGGTCAGACGGACTCAGGCGTGCGGAACCCAGGCGGAGGGTCGGACCTAGTGAGCGACCCAGCGAGTGACCACGGGGAAACAGCGAGGGAGCAGGGCCGAGATTTGACTGTGGTCGCGCATTCGTGTGCAGATAGACCAGCAAGGGAGTGGGCAGTTAGACCGAACCCAGCAGGCCCCAGTGGCGAGCGGCAGCAGAGGGCGCCGCCATTTCCCCGCTCTGACCCCGCCCCCACATACAGCGTCACATCCCAGAGACCTGGGAGTCCAAGGCTCTGCTCCTCATACTTAACAGGCACAAACTGACCAAAAATGGCTGAAGAAGATCTCAAAGCTCCAGAGCCCATAAATCTAAGCGATGAAGAAATAGCAAAACTCTCAGACGCACAGTTTAAAACACTGGTGATCAGGATGCTCACAGATCTGGTTGGTTATAGCCACAAATTAGAGAAACATATGAAGGCGAAACCAATTGAAATGAATGGAATTGCACAGGAAACCAATAGCAATGAAAAGGAAACTGGGACTCAAATCAATGGAGTGGACCAGAAGAAAGCAAATAATGGCCAAACAGAAAAGAGTGAAGAAGCAAGAATTCAAAAAAATGAGGAGAGTCTTAGGAACCTCCAGGACATCTTTAAACGCTCCAACATCCGAATTATAGGGGTACTGGAAGGGGGAAAGGAACAGCCACCAGTAGAAAACTTATTTGAACAAATAATAAAGGAGAATTTCCCCAATCTGTCAGAGGAAATAGACTTCCAGGAAATCCAGGAAGCTCAGAGAGTACCAAAGAAGTTGGACCCAAGAAGGAGCACACCAAGGCACATCATAATTATATTAGCCAAGATTAAAATGAAGGAGAGAATCCTAGAAGCAGAAAGACATAAGGGAACAGTCACCTACAAAGGAGTCCCCATCAGACTGTCAGCAGTTTTCTCAAAAGAGACCTTACAGGCAAGAAGGGGCTGGAAAGAAGTATCCCAAGTCATGAAATCCAAAGACCTACAACCAAGATTGCTCTATCCAGCAAAACTTTCATTTAGAATGGAAGGGCAGATAAAGTGCTTCTCAGATAAGATCAAATTCAAGGAGTTCATCATCACCAAGCCCTTATTATATGAAATGTTAAAGGGACTTACCTAAGAAAAAGAAGTTAAAAAAACATGAACAGTGAAAGGACAGCATACTCACAGTTATTAACAACCACACCTAAAACAAAAGCAAACTAAAAGGACAGTTAGATCAGGGGTGGAAACATGGAAATGAAAATCTCAAGGAGGGTTAGCAACAGGGGAATGGGAGAAGGAGAAGGGGGGAAAAGGTACAGAAAATAAGTAGCATAGACGGTAGATAGAAAATAGATGGGGGGCAAGAATAGTGTGGGAAATATAGAATCTAAAGAACTTGAGACGCATGGTCATAAACTAAAGGGGGGGTAATGCTGGGGGTGGGGGTGGAGGGTGGAGGGGAATGAAGGGAATAGAACAACTGCAATGGCATAATCAATAAATTTAATTTAATTTAATTTAAAAAAAGAGAGAAACATCGGAGTTGTAGGAGGGGCAATTTGTGTCAAAATAACATCCGCAGTCTGTGAATCTTGAAACTTTTTCTGGTCTGTGAACTGGAAATAACTACTTCACACACTGCAAAGCTCAAATAGACAATGTATTTTTAAGATGTCTGAGTGAAGAGGTATATTTTACAAATTATCCCAAAGGCTATATTTAGTATTTCACCTGAGCAGTCTTCCTAATTTAAATCCATGTTATTTCCATGCTAGCTGCTCCTGTCTTAATTTAAATCCATGTTATTTCCATGCTAGCTGCTCCCAGGTCAGATCTGCATTCTGCAGGGCAACACCCTTCGTGTTAAAACCTGTGTTTTCTTCCTTACAGGCTCCCTGAGCAGTTCTGAGTCCCAGGACGGTGGGGTCCACCAGGGGATGGCAGGCATGTTGTGGAAGCTGCCGCTGAGATCCCAGCCTTGCAGGCTGTGTTCGTGTAGAAAGATGCTGTCAGCCCCCAGACACAGACCTTTTGTAGCACGCTTCACCTGCACAACTGACAATCAGTCAAACAAAGAAAATGAAAGGACAGTAGAAAAGCTCTATAAATTTTCAGTTGACATCAGGAAAATTCGCAGATTAAAAGGATGGGTACTGTTGGAGGACGAAACCTATGTTGAAGAAATTGCAACTATTTTACAACAACTAGGTGCCGACGAGACTGCCGTGGCCAGTGTTCTGGAACGCTGCCCAGAAGCAGTTGTCTGCAGTCCAGCCGCTGTTCACGTCCAGAGGGAACTCTGGCAATCGGTCTGCAAAAGCAAGGAAGAGTTAGTCAAGTTAATAGAACAGTTTCCAGAGTCCTTCTTTACCATTAAAGACCAGGAAAACCAGAAACAGAACGTTCAGTTCTTTCAAGAGTTGGGACTCAAAAATGTGGTCATTAGCAGATTTTTGACAACTGCCTCTAGTATTTTTCATAATCCTGTCGAGAAAAATAAGCAAATGATAAGGATTCTCCAAGAGAGTTACCTAAATCTAGGTGGCTCTGAAGCCAACATGAAAGTTTGGCTACTAAAATTATTAAGCCAGAACCCATTTATTTTGTTAAATTCTTCTGCGGCTATACAGGAAACACTAGAGTTTCTCCAGGAGCAGGGTTTCACAGACTTTGAAATTCTCCAACTTCTGTCCAAACTGAAAGGGTTTCTTTTTCAACTTAGCCCAAGAAGTATACAGCACAGTATTTCCTTCTCTAAAAGTGCTTTTCATTGCACAGATCATGACCTGAAGCAATTAGTGTTGAAATGTCCTGCCCTTTTATATTATTCTGTCCCTGTTTTGGAAGAGAGAATCCAGGTATTGTTGAAAGAGGGCATTTCCATAGCTCAGATAAGAGAGACCCCAATGGTTCTTGAATTAACCCCACAGATAGTGCAGTACAGGATAAGGAAACTGAATTCTTTAGGCTACAGAATAAAGGATGGATATCTAGCCAATCTAAATGGAACAAAAAAAGAGTTTGAGGCTAACTTTGGTAAAATTCAGGCCAAAAAAGGAAGGCCATTATTTAACCCTGTGGCACCATTAAACGTTGATGAGTGACTTGCTGGCTGGTATTGCTTCCTTCTGGAGTGCAGAGTGGAACTGAGTAGCAAAGACATGATTCACGCCGTTTGTCTGTGTGTCATTTTAAGAAACTACTGGCTTCCGAGTCTGTGTGTAAATTACCTGTACATGGGTTGTACATGAGTTGGAGGAAGTAATGTCCAACTCATTTGCCCTGAGTGTGTGTAATTAATCCTCACCTGGATTATCCTCAGGGGATATGTTTATTGCTTTTAGACAGAAAGGGAGAGAGAGAAATAGGGATCAGTTGCCTCCTGTACCCTGACCAGGGATCAAACCTGCAACCTAAGTGTGTGCCCTTGAACAGGAATCGAACCTGCAACCTTTTGGTGCAAGGGGACATTCCAACCAACTGAACCACCCAGCCAGGGCTCATTTGCTGTGTTTTAAAATATAAGTTGCATTTATTTGAAGTAATGTTGGTAATTTGACCTGCAGCTATATTTTTTGAAATCCTATACTATTCAATGACACATCAGTGTGATATTTTATAAGTGAATCATTTCTAAGAAACTGACACGTGTACTCCCTTGATTCAAGGTATGGTTACATTTTTTAAATTGACATACTACGTTTCAGACTAGCCTTCTTCCTCCCCACCAACCCTGAAACATCACCCCTGTGGTCTGAATGCTGTAGTTTAGTGTTAAGTGAAACATCAGCAAATTAGTACATTTTTTAGAGAAGGCTGATTTTATCTCCTGGTTGGAATAAATGATTATCTTTCAGAACCAAGTATGACTCATCCAAAAAGAACAGTTAGAACCTACTTCTATGGTCAGTTTGTTTAAAATTGATCCTTTTTATCTCATGAAATGCTTTTAAGTGCATTCATTACCTTCCCCGTTATTGCAGATGAGGAAAGTGAAGCTTAGAGCAGCCACTCAGCTGCCCAGTGACAGAGCCCAGATTTACTGTGCTCTGACTTCCTTTCAAACCTCCTGACTAGAAAGACTGCCTATGAGTTGGCCTAAGAAAAGTCACCCCAACATGACCTGCCAAAGGAGTGAGTACCAACAAATTTAGGGATTTTTAGGGAAACTTCTCTGTAAAATTCCTTAAATTTGAAATGATTTAATTTATAAACAATTGAAGTAAATGCAGCATTAAAAAAATTTTTTTTCTGAAAATCCAGGTCTGCCTTTAAAATGAAACGTGTATGATGGTTTTAGTACATTTCAAATTTCTATTTCTAAATCTTGGGCCAACATAGATATTACCCCACATAAAGACTGGCCCACTTTCAGCTGTGGTTTTGAACTTTGTGAAAATACACAACCAGACAATTGAATCTGGTATCCAAACATCTGTGTGCATCGCCTTTTAAGGAAAAAATTGTGAAAAACGCAGGCCGTGTCTTCATTCAGCAGCTGCAGGTAACCTCCACTATCTAAACTCGGTCTGTTCCTTAGGAGAGAGAAATCTCTGCAGCACCAGCCAAGTGCCCGGCACATGGTGCTTTGCAGCTCTGAGTTTGGTACCATTGTTCACAATTGTACAGATTAGGAGCCTCAGGCACAGAGAGGGTCAGTTACTTACCCCACGTCACATGGGAATGTTTGTTCAAGGGAAGGAGTGGCAGGCAGTCGGTACAGTGGGGGCAGGCAGAGTGGTGCAAGGTAAGATGAGTGTTACAAGTGCAGCTAAGGAGCACTCTGTGTGGTAGGAGATCCTTGGAGAAAGTTAGTGTATGCTTGTTGGCCTGACATAATTATCCGTGGTGCTTGCTTTCTCTGGCAGTTGTCTCAGTTTGAAATACATTGATCACCTCTTAGGTGTCCGTTTGGGGATGTCTACTAGATATGTGAGCAGAGATGTCAGAGGCAAGTGGCGAAGTCTGAGAAGTCCGGACTGGAAACAGGCATCAAGCTGTGACTCTTGATGAGCTTCCCCATCCTGGAAAGGGCTAACCAGAGGAGGAAATCTGCCGGGAAAAGAGGGCATGGTCAGTAATATTAAATGCCCCTGGAGGCGCCAACTAAGGCACGGACGAGAGTGTCTGATGGATTCGGCGAGCTGGAAATCATTCGTCGGTCCTATCAGCAGTGATTCTGGCGGACTGAGAAAGGTACAAAGACGCCTGGAGTAGGTTGAGAGAACAGATGAAGAGGAAGAAACTAGTTTTTCAAGAAATTTTGCTGTGAATTTTTTCTTTAAAGAAAGCAAATACTAAGACGTGTTTACATGCTAATGGGTATGACCCAAGAGAGATGGATGAAGGACGGAAAACTGCAGGATTAACGTCCTGGAGGAAGCGAAGATGGGCAGACTGGGTAAGAGCAGGGACACCAGCTCTGGCCCACAGAGCGTGGGAACAGGGGCAAGCATGTGATGGAGGGGGTGGTGTGAGAGTTGCCGTCTGACTGGAGGGGAGTATACACAGCAGGAGAGTTGGGAGGAGGCACTAGGAAGGCATTTCAAGGAGTAGGAGAGCGCACGCGCAGGAGGGTGCGTAGGGAAGTTTAGCAGAACTGAGGGGCCGTGTGTGCTTTGTGGCAGTTAGTTCAGAAAGAGCCTTGTCAGTACAGCAGCACGTGTGCGAACACGGCCCGAGGCACAGACACCCAGAGGGACTTAATGGTCTGGGAAGTACATTTGTAGCTTACTCTAACTTGAAAAAATTGCGTTAGAAAAATCTACAGTTGTGGTCAAAAACCCAGTTTATTTATTGACTTTATTTTTCCTAAGATTAAATCTTACTCCATGTTTTCTTTTGAAAGCCTTTGAATCTGTGCATTCTTGCATTCTCATTTAGGTCTTTCTGTGTGTGAGTGTACTTGAAAATATTCAAAAGCAACAACATAGCAAGAAGAGACTCTTACATAAATCACTAGAGTTAAATTTTACTTTCTGTGCGAAAAAGGCTCTAGTAACAAAATTATTTCCTTTAGGTAATTTATGTCTAGTTATACTAAATTCACTTATGTGGCAAAATGTAATTATCTGCCCCAGTAAACATGGTCACCAGGAAGACTCCGTGTTGAAGGCAAGACAGCCTGGAAAATCCGCGCACAGGCGGCACGCACGCCAATGCAGAGGGAGGGACTAGTTACTGGGTAGCCCCACTTCCGTTTCCGGGTGTACCCTGGAGGGGTTGTGACTCAGACTCATTCAAAAGTGATATGGGAAATTCAGCTAACGTTGAGGGTTAGCCTATTCCGTGTTTGTAGAAAGAGAATAGGGATACTTTTCTCATGTGGATTAAATCAAATCACGTAAGGATGCCCAGGAAATACCCACTTTCTACCTTCCTCCAACTGGTTCCCAACCCTTCGAGTCACTTGTGTCCAGTGAGAGGTCTAAGTTGGTTCCACAGCCACTTAAGAGAGAGGGAAGTGCTCTTTGTTAACTTCTCTGTCAGTTTCCAAATTTTAGAGTACCTGGGAATCACCAGCAGAGCTGGTTAAACTGTGGTCCTGGGCCCCACCCTGCAGAAATTCAGCAAGTTGGGGTAAAACCTAGAAATCTACATTTTCAATCTTTATCTGAGTTATTTAAAACATATTTGCATTTATTGTGTTAGCATCAAAATACATTTTCAGAGATGTTTTATCTTATTTGTTCATTAACATAAAAAAATTTAAAAACTGGCTACAGTACTTTCTGAACTCCATGTAACTAAAAATTTTAAGACTACCCTGTTTTAAAAATTTCCTTTATTTCCTTAGATCTTTATGAAACATTTCATATTTTGCAGATCATAGTTCTTTATTACAGATTCATGTATTCTTTTCCCATTTCTTTAATACAAAAAATTCAGTCATCAGTTATTTTTATCTGACATTTCTTTCACTAAGTGCCGGATTCACATCAACATTATTAGGTCAACCAGCGGGTCACACAAGTTTGTCCTCGCGGTGCCAAACACCCACGCCGAAGATGAGCCGATAACAGATGCCTCCAGGTATATACAACAGTTTCAGCTTCTTGAAGTGAATCAGGACTATTTAACAGGTCGAACTGCTAATCTACAAAAGTAAACTGGAAAAGACTCAAGTGTACAGCTACACCTATCAAATGGCAAGTTCATTTCGACAAGAACCTCCATAACTAACTGTTCATTTGTATAGTTTTCTGCTCACTGCAAAAGCCTCCCCGGAACAGTTACAGTTTGGAATTTAAAACAAACTTGACAACATGTCCCAGGCGGCTCTCCTGTAGCAGAAATTAATTACAGCCATTTTCCTCACGCAGTCTTAAAGACGAGCAAAGTTAAAAATAAATATGCAGGCATACAGTAAATTGAAGTTTAAATTTAGAAATTCAGGTACAAAGCGCAGCAGAGCCTATGACTAGAGAAGATAAATTAGAAATATAAACTAGCAATAATTCCTTTCAAATAGCAGGAAACAAGTTCTCTACTACCACTATTTAGATCATTATTTGTGGTCATCTATTAGTTTTGGATTTTCTTTGTAAAACCCTTTTCTAATTATGGTATCTGACCACATACACCAGCAAGTAAGCACACCTTAAATAATGCAGCATGAAATGGGCATTGACTCTCTGATGTATTAAACTCCTTAAAGACTTCTCAGTTTTGTATACTGTAGAAAAGGCTCAAGAACCTTTGTAGATTTTCTTAAAATCCCTCCTGGTATTTATGAAAGCTTTTAAAAGTTAGGTCCTTATCCATTTCTTAACCCACATTATTCATGTAAAACTCGGAGTCATTTGCGAACAAACACTTAAGCCTTGTGCTGGAGTCATCAGCTTCGAGTTCTCGGGACGCTGTCCACCTCCTTCCTCCACAGCAGGACGCCTTTCCCCGCCTCCCTGGGGAGGGGCAGGGGCGTGGGGACCCCCTGCAGAATGGAGGCAGGTTTCTGACATAAGTGGAAAGAAAACTCAGATTTTTTTTCAGGCTTGGATTATAAGGAATGCCAACTATATGTACACTTTTTAAATTTTTATGAAATGAAAACCAAAAAGATGAACTTCAGCTAAGCCATGTTCTTGCGATTGAAGGAGATATGATGAGATACGTTAAGGATGATACACATTGTTCATCATCAAAAACTTCAATTCCCTGCCTGAAGTTGACTTGGAAAATGATACGTCTACAGCTACTTTGAAGGACAGTAAGGGAACATTTTTAAAGCCCACAAAACACTGAAGCACTACTCAAAACTAATCTATGAAGCCCACTGCATTCAATTTAACAGTCAACCCCACTTATTGGTGGTTCTTTTACTATGTTTTTAAAAAGAAGTACTGCTAATAATTTAAGCCATCCTAGAGATAAAATAGGTGGGAAGAATTCTTTTTATATCTTGGATGTTCTAGGTAATTTTTAAGAACTTAAAATTATTTGTTCCTCCTTAATCTGAAACCCTCCCAAAATATCTTTTGGCTAGCAGAGAGATGGCCCCCAGGTACTGCTAGGCCTTTGTCTAGGAGCCTGAGCCCAGGCTGAAGCCCACAGTTTGGTTGTGACAATGGGCAGCTGACAACCAGTGAACAAGCACTCTCATCTGCTAAGAGCAATGCCTTTACCCACCACTCCTGAGGTGCTTAAAGAGGGAAAACTAATTTCATAAACAACTTTTAAGAGAATCCATATATAATTCTAAGAACTGCACATATTTAGGGTATTAGAAAAGATGTTTTGTAAGGCATTGATGATTAAATTAATATAATGCATGTCTAACAAAAGATGGTTAACACTCGGGATCAGAAAACCATTTCTTTTCTTTTACAATTTCTCTAAATCCTGCTACTTTTACCAGCTTAAATAAGAAAAGAATGCTTCTTGGCCTAATCAACTATGATTATTTTTAGAAAACTAAGACGTCTGAAACTATTAGGCACATCAAAATTACAGTTTATGTAGGTCGAAGTTTCCCTTCTCAGGGGCAGATGAGTCACCTGGCACAGTGTACATAGAGAACTGTAAAGATCACCCACTAAATTCAACTTTCACATTTTTAGTTCAACTGAAAGACATAGTAAATATTCAAATATATCTTCAGTTACAGCTGAATAAGTGTAACATTTTATCAGATAAAAAGCTGGAATTTAAGTAAGAGAAACCTTCATACACTGTGCTAGTATTGGTCTCTTCCTTTTAGACGAAAGCCAGTCATCAATACTTTCAACACAGCAGTTTCAGAAGATAAATGTCCAAGACGGCTGACTTAGTTGTGGTCCATAATTTAGCAATTCAATGCCACTGGCATCATAATGCTGTGGAGAGCGAGCGTATCTCCATGTCTTAGTCAGATTTGTCTTTCTTCTTGCCTGTTAAGGGCACTTTGTTTACGACAGCAGATCCGACAGCTGTCACCCCTCCGGCCACAGCGGACACGCCGCCTCTCACCAGCCCTATTCCCATGGAAGGCACAGTTGTAACCGCTGTTTTGGTCACCTCCAGACTCTTCCCACCAATCCAAGCCACGCCACCAATGGTGGCACCGACGGCTCCCTTTGTAACACTGAAGATACCCCCAGTCACGCGGGACAACATGCCTGGCTGCTGCTGTGGGTGATCTTTCATTGAGCCTAGTGAGGGAAAATCAGACAGACAGACATCTTTGTAAGACAGTACAGATCACTCTGTAACCAAGGCTCCCTAACAGTCGGAGGTTGTCTTAAGAAGGCCAATCACGTAAGTATAAATTTCCATGTTCAGCAATAGCTAAATTTATAAAAACCAAACTTTTTCTTGAAACTATTTGAATAATAAGCATAGTTAATGTAAATTTTTAAATAACTCAAATAAAAGGCTTAAGCTACAGATAAGCATTTGAATATATAATAAGGAATTGTACATTCAAAGGGGTGAATATATAACACCCTTTATAAGGTGACTGCCCCTTATCTATGGTTTCACTTAGGCAGTTACACTTACCCAGAGTCATCCATGGTCTGAAAACATTAAATGGTAAGTTTCAGAAACAAACCATTCATCAGCTTTAAACTGCGTGCCCCTCTGAGCACCGTCATGAAATCTCGAACCATCCCCTCCTCCCCACCTGGGAAGTGAACAATCCCAATGTCCAGTGTGTTCAAGCTGGACATACACACTGGACATACAGTACAATAAGACATTTTGAGAGAGACCACATTCACATAACTTCTTTCACAGGATATCATTGCAACTGTTCTATTTTATTAGTTCTTACTAATCTCTTACTGTGTCTAACTTATAAACTAAGCTTTATCATGTATAAAAGTAACAGTATTTACAGGGCTCAGTACCACCTAGGTTTCAGGCATCCACTGGGGGTCTTTGAATGTATCCCCTGTAGATAAGGAGGAACTACTGCATTAATTATAAAATTATGATGGAAAGGATTACGTAATTGAGCATTCTTTTATAATCAAGGTCAAGGTCAGTAACACTAGGAAAGGGGGGAAATCCTGTTGTGAGGATAAAACAGGTAACTGCTTCATGCTGAATACCTCATGCAGGATTATTATACTGCTATGCTAAATTTGGTGCATAAGCATTTAATAAGCACAATTTTTCTTTAAAAATTTTTTTTTAATTTTCAATTGCAGTTGATGGAGGTAATTTTCTTAAATATTAGTGCTATTTAAATCTTTAATCACAGTTTGCTCTTAATTACCACCATATAAATTATTTACTTTGCAGACTACTTTTGCTGAGCAGATTGCCATACACAGCCATTCCTGAAGCTGGTGCTCTTCCTCGACAGTCATGCTCCTGGATACACCCTTTATCTGCCTCTTCCCTGAAGACTGTCTCACAAAGTCCTTATTAACTCTCTCACTGAGCCCTAACTTCTTTTCAAAACTCAGAGTTCTCATTCTAAAAAATAAAGCAAGGAAAACAGGTGGGCTAATAATTTTCTAGGCTATTCCTCCACTAAACTGAAAATAAGCAGCTTAGTCACCCCCATCCTCTTTTAGGCTGAGGTACGAACTTTTCATTGTGTTTATTATTCTCCTAGCAATTCCATTTTTATCTACCAACATTAGAAATACAGGAAGAAAGTTTTGGACAGTGGGTAACAGAACTGGGAACAAAATACAACACCTAGGGCTAGAAGTTCAGCCCTAGCCTCTTCCAGAGACATCCTAGTCCATCTGCTAATCCCATCTGGTCTGTCAGTCACTTCCTCCCTTACTCTCCAATTTGATTCTTTTTCTTACCTATTATGACTGTCCCGTACAAAACACACAGTTGTCTAAAGAGATCACTATTTGAGTTAAGTGTAATAATATTCTATACCAAAACCATAAGTAAAAAAATTGCTATAGGTATTTTCTGTATATGGTCAGGACATTTAGCTGTACAGTTAGTGTTTCCAAGGAATTCTGAGAGTAAGAATGAAATGACTCAAGATAAAACAATTTTCAGACTCATAATTTAAGCAGACCCTAGGACCATGTATAACATAGGAAGAGAGCTGCCAAATGTGTTGAAATGATGGGAGTTTAACAACAAATCTCCAGTACCTTGAGTTTTTTTAATGTACAATGTCAACACTAAACACAGTTCATCTTTCGTCTGCACTCACCCCGCTCTTTATAAATGAAAGAATGTTCTTATGAAATGGGCCCAAAATAAGAGTAACCAAAAAATAAATCTTATATAATAAAATGATTACATTATGGCCCCATTCACCAATATTTGTATTTTCTTTTAGAGTCTTAAATAGTTTCCCATCAGTTACTTTTGGAACCTATTTAACTGACAAGGTAAATGGGTTATGTTAACTTTAAATTTAATAAAAACAATCAGAACTTTAGTTGGGTTGGGTATTTTTTTCTACTCTTGGTGTTACAGATGCATACTTACCTTCTGGTGGTTCGTCACTAAGGTAAGATGGGACTTCTTGTTGATTTTTATCTGCCTGATTCATGATCTAAAAAACACACAACACACATTTCACTTTAACCTCAACGTGGAAGACTGCCTCTTATCACATGTTCAACTAAGACTTAATTGACTTTATTAGGTAAACAACATTCTTGAATACCCATCACAAGGCTGCTTCATCTTGTTTCTCTTACTTTGTGGTGTTTAAGAAATACTTTAATTATACTAGTGGACAGTACAAATCTTCAACACCAACCAGAGGGGGGCAGGAATGGCACACGCTTTCCCATGTTGCTGCTGCTGCTTTGATGAAACCGAAGGTGACTGACTGAAAGTTGGAGGGTGTGGGTGAGCAAACAAAAGTTTTTAAGTGCTTCGTTCTACAGAATATTGGCCAACTTGATTGTAATTTATTTCACGACAGACTTGGAGAAACATGCACACTGTATCTAAAACGTGTTATCTGAAAAGTTTCTTAAAAAACATGACCTCCTCCTACAGAGATGACACCGTCCACCTGAATCACTGAGATCGACTTTGACTACTTGTTATTGTTGTTTTTAGAGCATAAATAGATAACAAAGGAATCCAAAATTTACCATAAAAAAGAAAGTACTATGATTACCTCCTTAAGTACAAGCAGAAAAAGAACCTAATAAATAACCTTAAGTTGGGATAAAGAAAACATAGTTAAACTTTCTTTTCCCAATTTCCTTTACTATTTTAAAATATTTGTTTTTTAGTTATTTTAAAAATTAAAACAAGTCAACAGTGGCCCTAAAAGTTTTCTTGCTAGGCCAGAAAATGAGGGTTGCGGTCCTAGCAGTCGTCTAAGTACTCCTTAAATCTTCCCGTGCAGCCTGAATCCCGGTGCCTGGGCATATGCATGCAACACAGATTAAAAGGACTCTGTGAAATCCTGCCAGTTGTGACTTGAGGGCATTATGATAAGTGAAACAAATCAGAGAACAAATCAGAAACTGGCAGAGGCCTTGCCAAACAGCACTAAGGAGACGAGATGGAAGAGTGAGGTGTGGACTGCGGAGGCCCTAACAGGCCACAGTGGTAGCTGTCACTGTGGGTGAGACGGGGAGCCAGTGAAATGCACCGAGAGAGGGGTGTTGTGTCCTGATTTATACTTCTAAGAGATCATTCTAGCTGTTGTGAGCAGCACACACATTAGGAGAGCAAGAACAGGCAGAAAGACCTGTCGGACAGTCACCATGATGTTTTCGGGGTTTCTCTGAATTGCCGCACGTTTCAGAACAACGTGGCTAATGTGAAGTGGTCAGAGGATAGTCAAGGGAGTTCCCTTTCCTTAATGATTCCTGATGCTTTTAAAGTACCAGGTGATCAGATAAAAATTCATCTATATTTCAATAATCGAGGCAAAAAAATGGTGATAAATGAGGGTGGTAGAGGTAGTGGGCTGTGAGGAGTGGGATTTTTCAAAGGTAATTGGAACTTCATGCAATTCAGTTTGCAGTGCCTTTAAAACCTAAATCCCGTGTAAGATGAGACTCAGTAGTGCATGTCAGGTGCTTACATAAATGTCTGTTAGTTGCTGTAGTGAAAACTCTGATTCAGGCCACGTATCAAGAGCACCTAATCTCATGCCAGTCCAGTTTGTGAATTGAGAACATCATCCCCCCACACACAAGATTTACAGTAACAGTGAAGACATGCAGGTCCTGACAAACAAAACAAAAGAATGTCAGGTGACGCACTACTGGGAGTTCTTGACTGACCTGCCCTAATTTTAAAGCTCCCTGAAACGAGAATGTTAAATTTGTTTCTGTTCATATTTCTTTAGTTTAGCATCATGGTAAGATCATGAGGAATTATACAGCATAGTGTTTAAAGGTCTGAGATCAGAGAGCCTGAGGCTGACGCCCAACTGGACTATAAACTTCACAAGGACAAATAACTTCACAGATCTCTGTTGTTCAGGAAATACACAATAGAAATTAGATACTCTAGCCCTAACTCTAAGGTGAGAATACTATTTAACAAATTCAAAACAAAACACAAATTCCTGGCAGAATATATGTGTCCATCCCTTCGTAAAGAATAAGTATTTTGGAGCTGCTCTTCTTCCCCGCTGGACTGTTAGTCCCTAGGAGAGAGACACTTGGTCCAGCTTGTTCATCGGTGTGAGCCAGTGTCTGCACGCCATGCACACACAAATCCTGGCACTGACAAACAGATGCTCCCACACCCTGTACAGAAATACGGGGAAATTACACACACATGGATCTTAGATATTTTAGCAGGAGTTTAAAACCAGGTATGACAGTAACTGCGTACATTTCAAAACTGCCTTTCTGTATATATTCCACAAATCGGTACTGGGTCTTACCTTTTCATCCTAATACAGAATTGCTTTTAAAAGTATTCTTAATTTTTCCACATAGATCTTGTAATTTTTTTTAAAAGACCACCATTTAGAAGATTAGAACTGGTTTAAATTATGATAGCATAAAAGACATGTGCAAATTCAACTAAATAATACAAACTGACTCTACCCTCCTGCGGGCAGGCAGTGAGGAGCCGTGAGCAGAGCATGTTGTCGAGCCTGTGCTTTAAGAAGTTGAGTGAAGCACGAATAGAAAGGAGAGAGAGATTACACACAGCGAGAGGCTAACTTGGCAGTTCAATGAGATGGAATAGTAATCTGAACTCTGCCAGTTTTTCCTGTCTAAATAAGTGTTTGGACCAAAAGCTGAGAGGTCCTCTTTTTTAACATTCCCACCCAATCATCGGTATGTTGTCACCTAAATGAATCCAGCACAGGACTCCGCACCCCTGCTGCTACTGCTACCAAGTAAACCACCATAACCTCTCATTTGCACCACAAAATCTCTTAACTGGCCCCCAAGCTTGCACCCTTGGAAGGCTAGCCCTTTCAGTCTAATTACGTCATACTTTGCTTAAAACCCTCCTGCTGCTTGATGTTTTCCTTAGAAAATTCAGAGTCCATCCCTCCACCTCCAAGGCCCAACATTTCACACTCCGATATTTCCTGCCGTTCTGCCTCCCGCTCCTTCCAGTCCGGCAGCACAGCAGCTTCCATACCTTCTCCTGAAAGGCTCTTCCCCAAAATGTATACAGGCCTTGCTTCCTTACTTCCTTCAGGTCTTTGGGCAAATGTCCCCTTGTCGAAGGTCTTCCCTGACTACCTTATAATAGATAAGCACACTTCTACTCCTCTGTCATCATCACCTGACCCCGCTGTATTTTCTTCACTGCACTTACTGTCACTTGATATATGTATCTGTTCACACTGCGTCTCTCCTACTAGAATGTGAGTTCCATGCAAACAAGGCTTGGTTTTGTTCACTGTTCCATCCGCAGAGCCATAATCAGTGCCTGATACGTGGACACCCGAGTACTTGAATTTTCTGTATGAAGTAGAATGTAACTGTTGGTATTAATGTGAGATAAAAGAATATTAGATGTAAAATTTCTAGTGTGAGCAACTAAGTAGAGATGATGAAGATGGGACAGGCAAGGAGAAACCATTAAATTCTGAGAGAAGACAGACTTCTAAAAATGTTATTTTACTGTGATGAGAACACTTAGCCTAAGATCTACCCTCTAACAAGTAAGTGTATAATTATTACTGTTGACCATAGGTACAACGAAAGGATTGCTTTTGAACAACTGTATTTGAGATGCCTTCAGGGCATTCACAGATGTTGAGCAGGCAACTGGCTTTAAGGGTCTTGAAACTCAGCATGAAGTCTGAGTGGTACAGAGATTCCGAGAGAGGTTTGAAGTGGTGGCTGAAGCTGTGGGGCGTGGGTGACGTGGCCAAGGAAAAGAGCGATGGGAGAGAGAAGCGGACTGATAACTGGACTGCTCATACTTCAGAGGGGAAAGAGAAGCCAACAAAACAAACAAAATACACCTGACAATTAACAGTCAATGAGAACAGCCTCATGGAAGGCAAGAGATGGATTGATAAGCTTCCTAAAAACACACACAATGCAGACAGTACGATCATTTATGGGGAAATGGTAATGTTACAATTAGAGAATATAAAAGGCATATATTATTGATCCAAGTTTTTTAAAATGCACATAAAAAGACTGGAAGGAAGTATACCAGACTGCTGGCAGACTGCTAGTAGGGGGTGGGAGAAATTATATACACAAACACACACATATATCGGTATATATTTTTCCCACCCCTCCTGGCAACCTAGATATATATATATAGAGAGAGAGAGAAATATATGTATTTAACATCTACATTTCAATTTCCTACCATAAACAGGTATTGCTTTTGTAATTAAAGAAAAAATATTTTTAAGTCTTGGAAATCAGTGATATCCATAAAGGATATCTGTAAAGATTATTCATCTGCCTAGTTATTCTAGGTTTTCATCCTCAAATCAAGTTGATCATCTGAAAAACAATGTACGTGAATCACAAAAGGCCGACTTGAGGAAGATGGTATCACTGAGTTTCATTCATGATCATGTCCTGGGCAAGGCAGCTGACAGAGTGCTGTACTGCAGTAACTGTACACACTGTCTGGGAACTAGCCATCACTGTGTCACTTGCCAGCTTTGACATGGAGCTCTAGAGAAGAAATTTCTTTAGAGGTATTCAGAAACTTTTTGTTTCCCCAAAACACTTAGCATGTTTTCTTCTCTTCGAGTCTGTTTACTTTCCTGTATAAAGGTAACAAAGTTGCGATGTCTTCCTTTTCCCTTTGGCTTCCGGGAAGCTTAAAGCTAAAACTCCAGCTCAGCTAGGTAAGTTCCGGTGACCTTCGTAGTTGTGTCCTGTTCTGCCTGCCCCTGACTCCACACCTCCTCAAAACTTCCACTCTTACTGCCATTTTCCCTGGTCTGCCATTTGAATATCTGATTTATATCCTTACCACTTTGTTAGTACATGGTTTTGCTATAAACTGACACAAACTGTGTGTGGAATAAGTGGGGAAAATATCATCTGTATCCATATTAATTAAAGCGTCACAAGAAAAGATGCCAATATGTGGTCCAGTTTTTCGGTTTGAAAAAGAAAACCACTTTAAGCTAGAATCACGCTTTTCAAATGTACATCTTTAAGGTCAGGCAGTGGTAAGCCGGGAGCAGCAGAAACCACAAGAGAGACGTGATACATGCATTTGACGACGCAGTAACTTAAAAATACTCTATTGGTTTTAAATACACACTAATTAAATAGTTAAAGTGCTTGGGAATTTTTAGAGATTGCTAGACCTCCCAGAAATGTCATTCTTGCCTGGAGCTTACTCGGTGTACTTAGATTTACCAGCCCAGTCTTCCCAGTCCAACCACATTCCCACATCCCCATGACTGCTTTGAAGATGGGAGTGTTTGGGGTAGAAAAGTTTGAAATACAGCAATTTGGATAACATACAGAAACCTCCACAGGTACATTTAACATCATTACCTAAAGTTACCGACGGGATTATCAGTGAACAATGAAACACAAGGCAGGGTCACGCCAGGCCGGAGCCCAGCTCCCTGGACTGCGGGAACTTGCTACTACAGGACTCTGAACGCCTCCAGGTTGCAGGTGTTGCTTTGTGTACGTGTTTTCTATACTCAGGATTCTCTCCTACACGTCAGGTACCAACAACAAGTATGCAGTATTAAAATTCCTCTAGAACTCTTAGGCTAATAAACATTTTGCGGAAGCCCTATTTAGAATATATATGTATTTTCCTGAATTCCCAATTTGACCATAAGACACCAAATTATCGTATGAAAGTATTTTTGCTAAAGTCCTTAACTAAAATGCCATCGTTACTTTTACCCACGAAAATCATGCCCAGCCTCTCCACATTTGTGTCAAACTTCTGGTGACAGCACCTCTTTACGGGGAGTATCACTTTGTCACTAAGGAGAAATACTGGCTTGGCCAAAAGTCCATTTCATTTTCTCTGTAAAAGAAAAGACACGTTTTTCAGTTTCACCAATAACTTTATCGATTTGGACATTTTGAGCATTCCAGCTCTCTCCTGTAAGGTAGAACGTTGTTGATTGTCCTCAATTTGATCACTATCAACTCCAACTACCTGACCGTGGAGCACTGTCCAGCGAGAAATCTCCAGCACAAATCTTCACAAACCACTTCTGACACGTACCATCAGTCACAGCACCTCCTCCATAAACTGCACACACCTATTTTTGCATTTGTGGCATTTTCACCTTTCTTGAAATAATAAAGCATAATATGCTGAAAATACTGTGTATTTCCTTCCATCTTCATTATTAAAATGGCTACACAAAAATTCACCAATTTTGACTAAGTTTTTTTAAAATACACATTGATAGGACATCTGTTACCATACAATCTAGCGAAATTGTTTAGAATGAAGTTAAAAATAACTAAGTGCTACAAGAGCCATCTTACAGGAAAAAAAAAAAAGCAAGCACTTTGGCCAACCCAATACTTTTCTACACTATCATTCTGTGCATTATCGCCATTATGGGGGGCCCATTTCTCTTCACCTGGGAACTGTGAAGACAAACACACACCCAATCTAAAACTACGAAAGGCGAATATTCTGCTAGTAAAATTTAAAAGTATACACATGGAAACATAACAGTAAGTGTCAAAATGACAATTTTTTTTTGGTTTGCAGGCCCGTGCTCAATCCACTGAGCTACACCAACCAGGGCTTCAAAATGACAATTTTTAAATGTTACCCTTAAACAGAATGATTAAATTCTATGTGCACTGTCTGCCCTAACCTCATGGAGTCATTACTTCAACATACACTTGAGTCCCAACCGTGTGCCAGGCAGGCGCCCGGTTTGGCGCTGCGGTTTGCAGTGCGATTAAGGACACAGAGGAATACTCTTGACCAGAGTTCACAATCAAGTTTAGGTCAACCTTCCCTGCACTTGCCAATTTAGCTTCATTCAAAAACAAACAAAAAATATCTGCTCTCTAGGAATTCAATAATGCAATCAAGTTTCTGTCTTTTTTTTTTAGATGTACTTTTCTAAGGCAAAAATAGAAAACAGCCTTTAGGGCAGAACAAGTAATTTAACTTATATTCTGGACATAAACCAGTTTTACCCTTTGGTCCTACACTGCGGTTCACTGGCAGTTCTGGTCCAGTGCAACAGCGTCCCAGCTGTAGCAGCTGCAAACATCGAGCAAGGATTAATTTCACTCTTCCCTGGGCGGCAATTTCTTCCCATAATAGAAATAAGTAAACAGTGCCTCTCAGGAAGCTTTCTTTTTTCAAGGAGAATTGATGAATCAGTGTTGTTTGTGGATATCTGTAATGCTTCACATATATATTTTTAAATTAATAATGAAAACAAAGTCTGAAAATAGAACATAAACATGCCTATGGCTACCCCCCCACCCCAGTTTACTGAAGGAAGCTAAGGAGCACTAACAAGCTGTATAAAGCCTACTACCAAATACAGTGTACAACAGTTTACCTTCAACGCTGCTTCAAAGACCTGTGATTAAACAGTAAGTGCTAATTTCCCTACAAGAAAAAGACTGTAAATGAATTAGCTAAATTCTTCTGCATACTCTGTGTATTGGAACTTTGCCACATCCTCCCTCCCATGTGAGGGTGAGTTCTTTGCCAAATAACTACAAGGAGTTTCAAATATATGTGTACACAGAGCTTCGACACACATACATCAACAAGCAGTGAGTAAAACACCAACTTACTGTTTCCAGGCCTCTCTAGTTAATCAACCATCCTGAACAGGCAACTTTTAAATACAGGCCTTGCCTATTAAATCAACAGCAAACAGACTACAAGAAATACCCTGAATCTGGCAGGAAAGGAAAAATAATCCTCCAGTAAGATGTATAAGTGATTACCCAGTGACAAGGAACAACTGACAGTAGTCAAAATGGCAAAGTATTGCCCTGAAATGAAACACTAAGCAGAATCACGCAGCATACGATCAAACCAGATAACCAGCACACCGGCCATCTGCACCACGTTACTACTTAATTAGCTCAACAGATAGGTGTGTGCTGCTGTGTGTCAGACGCTATACTAAGTTCTGAGGTTTCAGCCTGAACAAGCACGCAAAGGCCCTACTCTGAAGGTGTTATAGACATAAAACCCAGTGAGATAGTTTCAGGAAGTAGCAAAATAGCAAATACTCAATGATGAAACAAAGAAGGGTAAAGATTTCATGCAGTTAAAAAAAAATCAAATACACAAGAATTACTCTAAGTTTTTCTAACTATATCCCTACACGTAGACAGATTTTTACTGGGTATGGTTTCTGGTACATCTGTTATAACAATGGCTAAAGACATGAAACTAAAAAAAAAATCAAAACAGGATGCATATGGGTTTATTAAAGGTTACTCCCCTCTTTAAAAAAAAAAGGAAAACAAAAAAAAACAGGCACAGGCACACACAGGCATCTGTTAGTGTGGTAGCAATATTCCTGGGGAGTCCTTGAGCGCATCCACACCAGTTGAAGTTGTAAAGGCTAAACAATAGCATAGAGAAAATAATCACAGGTAGTAAATAGTCTTTTCATTTGGAATTAGCTCGGGGTTCACAGAAGTGTGATAGCTCAAACAAGAATTTTCCTTTCCCTGGATGTTTGTAAACCTTTCCTCCAGGCCCCTTCTTCCCCCACTGATCCCTTTAGGTACTAGCAAGTCTTTTTTTTTTTTTTCCTTCCTCCGTTAGCAGCGGGAGTGACGTGGCAGGAGAGGCAGAAAATGAGCCTGGAGGAGCCGTGGCTAGGACTGAACTCAGCACCTCCCTCCGCTCCACGCTGTAACACCCAGCACACCCCAACTCCCCTAGGATTCCAGAATTTCTGTCTTCTTTCAGAGAAGAGGCGATCTCTTTAGGAGAAAGGATATGATGGCAAGTGGGAGCTTGGGGACCAGTCTTGACGCTGCGTGTGCCTTTGCAGGCACGGTTTTAATTTAGACTCCAGAGGCAGTGATGGCACCGACGGGTGCTCCAGCGGTCCCCAGTCACCCCCTGGCGCTGCCAGCGCCTCTCTCCAATCCTACACGTTCATTTTCAGGTTAAGGGTAGGGATAAGAGCTTTCCTACCCACTAAGAGCACTGGGAACGTCCACTGGGGTCCAAGGCTTGTATGCCAGAATCCCAGAGAGCGCTTTATCAACAGGTCAGGAGCTAGTGGGTCGGGAGCCCAGCACACAGCGGCTCTGCTGCATCCCTCTCCCCTTCCAGGCTGCTGACTCCCCCATTCTCCCAGCATGACACCCAAGGAGCTAAGAAGACAGGCGGAGGCTTCCAGAGGAGTCCCTGATCTCAAACCGCCGCAGAGGAGTCAGGGACCAGTAAAGAGGGGTAACCCCGCCAGTGAACCTCCATCTGCCCCCAACACCATCCAGCCCCTCCCCCTTCCCGCTCAGTGCCCCCTAAGGCCCCATTCGCAGTAGCCAGGCATGGAGACAGAGAGGAGGTGAGGGGCAGAAGAGCTAACGGAAGAAGGCGACAGAGAAGAGGGCAGGAAGCTGGGACAGCGCCCCCAGCCCTGGCAGCACGACTTACCGCCAGGATCGGGGGCTGCCTCCTAAAGCCGGGGCTGGGCGGAGGGAGCCGGTACAACCTAGAAGAGCTGAGGCGGCCCGAGCTGCTGGCACAGACTCGGGCGGTTTCGGCTCCGGCGGGCGGTTGCGGCTCCGGCGATGCCTTCTGAAGCTATAGAGCCAGAAGACTCCGTTGACGGCGGCAGCGGCCTCTGGCTGCGGACGTGGCGCCGGACGCCGACCCGCCCCCTCTGCGACTTGAGGAGTCACCTCCTCCCTTGGCTCGGGCTCCAATGCGCACGCGCACCCGGGCCTCTCCGGCGCCCACCCGTTTCACGAACTGCCCATCCCTCGCAGCATTACCAAGCCTACCGCCTCCCCAAGTGCGCAAGCGCAGCAGCCCCCTTTTTTTTTCTTTCCCCCCCTCCCCCCCCACCAGCTCCCGCCCCTTCGCCCCCTGGGTGCCTCGGAGGGAAACCCTGGCCGACCTGCGGGCGCCTCCTCCAGGGGTCTCCCCGCCCTTTTCCTCCGCCCTCCAATCAGACCAGGCGAGGGGCACAGAGCCCTGGGAACGCGGGGGCGGCAGCTCTAGAGGTCTCAAGCTCATGCTACCCGAAGCCACCAGTCAGCTTCGATAACGGTCGCTCGGAATTCAGAACCTTCACCCTAGGGAAGGTGGGGGATGGTTGCCAGTTTCTTCGGCTGTATCCTTGGCGTTTCAACCTCTTTCCCTTCTCTCCTTCTCCTCGGGCCAATGACGAGTTGGGCCTTTTCCCAGGCTTTTACTTTGGGACTCTGCACACCTTGACTGTGGAGGTGACAGGGGTGACGAGATGGAGTGCTCATTTATTATTGTTATTACTACAGCTGTAAATAGTCCCCGCCCTCAAGTGGAGCTCTTTGAGAGTAACGCCCCTCTGGTTCTTCATCGTAGCCCTGCGCCTACTTGCTGGGCCCAGGGCGCTCCAGGCACTCGGAACGTGCCCAGAGAATGGGTGTCTAGTGAAAAGGGAAGTAAGTGCCTTGGATGTCAGAACACCTGGCTGTAGGCCGCTCCCTTGCGGATCTGGAAGAGGAGCGTTGGTAAGAGGATCCTGCCCGGACCTGAGCTCCGTGCGATGTGAAGCCTCTCTCTGAGTTTCCAAGTCGGTGTGAAATATCCACTTCACCGGTTCTTCAGAGGACCCACCGTGTTAAGTTGTGCAGAGGCTGCTGAGCTACATAAACGGTATCTGTTAACTTTTCTTTGCCTCTTTCCTCACCTATAAAGTGAAGATGACGGTAAATCAGTTACAGGTTTTTGAGAGAAGCAAGAGGTACTGAGGTTGAAAGGTGTTTATAAAATGAATTCCTAGGCTACTGTGAGATCTTCACAATTTAGTTAGTGAGACAAAACATACACATGAAGCAACCAATAAATGACCTCTCATAATTTTTTTTTCTAATGGAAAAGAAGCAGGGCGGTACAACAGAGTGACTTGATGAGGCTCAGCAAAGGACAACCCAGGAAAGCCTGGAAGAAGCTGACTTCGGCCCAGGTCTTCCATAGTGTGGACTTAGTTAATGCGTTCGGCCTAATCATTGATTAATCAAAGCAGCCAGTCAAATCCACTTAGACCATTGTGCTGAGACTGTCGAGATATTTTCATTTTCCATAACTTAAAGAGTACATTAGATAATCTTGATTTAAAATACAATTTAGATGAGAATCCACAGGAGAATCTGTGGATTGTTGTGTTTACCCCACATGTGAAGACTGTGTACCTACTCTGTGCTTGTTACCACACAAACCTTTCTCCTTCATATGTGGTCTTCCCGGGGTGAGCACTAGGCAGAGTTATGAAGCGTACAATTACAGGGTTTCTTCCTTCCCTTTGCACTTCTTTCGCTCTAACAAGAAAATGTACCATAATTATTATTAAAGTATGAGTGATTGCCAAAGCTGTAGCCATCCTGGGAAATTTTGCATTTCTGCGGTTAGTAAATCCATAATCCACAGCAGTAGTTTAAACCATCTGATAAACCAACAGAGATGTAGAGGAGTTTGGGGGTTTGGGGGGCAGATTGTGAGTTCATGAGAACTTTCCAAAAGTGCAAATGTAAGAGGTCACATATTTCTTAAAAGCATGACACGAATCATGTCTTAGTGGCTCAATACTCTTACCTATGAAATGAATAGCAGCACTCAGTGTCCACCCACCCCTCGATCCACCCATCCCTCCATCTAAAATGAAAATAAATACTATGATCTTGCTGGAATGGCTTCTACAAAGGGATGCTATCTTTGTCTGGGCTACCCTGGTGCAGCAGCAGGAGCTGCAAGGAAGTCAGGCCCCATTCATTTTATAGATTGAATCCACTCAGTTCTTGATTCCTGGCCTGAAACCCCATTCTTAGATTATAAAATGAAACTTTCATTTCTGGGTGTTATTTTTGAAAGACAGTATGATGTCTTAAAATAATCATCAGTGCCTTCAGGCAATAACATTCTTTTAATGGACAAATTCTTAATGTAGCCTTTATCAATTATCCAATCTCTTAAATGACTAAGTTTTCCTCTAGTTCAGGGGTGTCCATCCCGTGGCCCACGGGCTGCATCCGGCCCAGGATGGCTATGAATGTGGCCCAATTGTAAATTTACTTAAAACATTATGGGATTTTTTGTGATTATGTGTCTCGACGTATTTAATGTGTGGCCCAGAGACACCAAAAGGTTGGACACCCCTGCTCTAGTTGGTTACACAGAGCCTTTTGCATTATTGAAAAACTAGAGAAATTAGATGTGACATTGAATGCTTAACAAGGTGGAGTAGTTCAAAAAGTAAGGGCCAGAAATAAGCAAGCTGGAAACCAGAAACATGAAAGCAAGAAGTAAATCATTTATAGGCTGATAGTACATTGATATCGAAGGGGAAGCCAGTCCAACTTTGTACCCAACACACAAATCTGCCTCCCAGCACACCCACAAAAATAGTTGTCATCCGCTCTTCTCAGAGTTTCTGTGTGAACCCACTTAAATGACAACTCACTCGGTGTGAGGTCCGTACATTTTCCTATGTTTCAGTATGTCTTATTTTTTTTCGAATCCTTACCCGAGGATATTTTTTATTGATTTTTAGAGAGAGAGGGAGGGAGAGAGAAAGAGAAACATCAATTGGTTGCTTCCAGCATGTGCCCCCAACCAGGTTTCCAGGAATAAAACCTACAAACCTGCAACTTCTTGGTCTATGGGACAATATTCCAACCCACCGGGCCACCCGGCCAGGGCTCATCAGGTTTTTATGGATATAATGCATTATCCTGGCATTTTGAAATAAACGGGACAGTTAACAACTTTATATGGATTGCCACCCAGTGTAAATTATTTTGCTTTTCTGTCCTCACTTTTTCACTCCTCTAACTTGCCCGGCACAATTACCTGCACTGTTACTGGTTTTTCCTTCTCTGTCACAATATCTTTCTTAATATTTTCTGTGTTATAACAATAATAACTGAAATTGATTTAATACAAGGTTTTAGTATGTATTATCTCACTTCTCCCAACAATATGATGTTGCAAGTACTATTATTATCCCCATATTCATATCAAGAAACTGAGGCATAGAGAAGTTAGGTAATTTACTCGGTGGCCCACAGCTAATGAGGAGCAGACCTCGGAATCAAACACAGTTTATTTCTGACTAGGGCCTCAGTTCCTAGCCACTATATTCTGAAAAAGAAGAAGATGTCCCTGCTACTGAGTAGCTAGTCTGATGCTGTAGGCTGGATCTTGGTGCTGCTGGGAGCTGACGTGGCACAGCTAGGCCTTAGCGTCTCCTGTTGAACATAAACAATTTCAGAGAACATCAACATCAGAAAAGATCACTCTGACTTCTGGTCGGGGTGGCAGCATCGATAAACGTGGCTTGCCTCCTCGTATAGCCACATCAAAATTACATCTAAAATACAGAACAACCATCACTCAGAACCATCAGAATTCCAGTTGAATACTACGGAATGAAAGAAACCACATCCATCCAGACTGATAGGAGGGCTGTCAGTGTGGGATGGGCTGGTCCCACATCCACGTGTGAGGGATACAAATTAAGGAGGGGTATTTTAGGAGTGAGGAGTCCCAGTCCCACATCAGGCCCCCCTGCCCAGAGTTCCAGTGCCAGAAAGATAAGACCCCATAGTTTCTGACTGTAAACTCAGTGGGGATTCATTTGCTAGAAGGAATAGCTGCAGCCCCAAGCAATTCCTCTTAAAGAACCCACAGACTTAATCAGACTCACTCCCTGGGTGCTCCAGCACCCAGGTAGCAGCTTGAAAGGCACCAGGGTGAAACTGAAGTGTCTGGCATCAAGGGGAGCCTTGGGAGACAGCTTTTCCTAGACAGAAATGTTGCAGAGGCTATTGTCCCTTTTCTGAACCCTTTCCACACAGAGCCAGCAGGCCGGTGCCATATCTGAGACTCTATCAACCTGGCTGACACTTTACCCCAACCTGGAGATCTCCAGAGACTCTGCCCCACCCAACTTATGGGCCCAGCCAGGCTGCTTTTCCATGTGAATGGCTGGTCTTGGCTCATGCTTCACAACTTCCTAAATCTCTCAAGCAATAGCTAGCCTCAGTGAGCTCCTAGCCCCAAAACCTCTTGCTAAGGGGCCCCAGGCTCAGCATCAGCAGCAACCAGCCTAGATTCATAGCTTATCTTCACCTGGATATCTACAAGCCCAGCACAAGTAGCAGCCATCCGAGGTTGCTTTATAGCTCAGGCAGGGTGGCCCCAGGCAAAACACAGGTGGTAGCTGACTTTGGCCTGCACCACCCAGGAAACCCCAGAGCCTGTGGACAGCTACAGACCACATCGGAGCACCGCCATCCTGCCCCCACACAGAGGGCAGAGATTGGTAGTCAGTGGTCATAGCCAGTCCTTACAACTGATAGGTCTGGGTACGTCCCTCCCATTGATCAGCCAACAGCAATCAAGGCTCAACTCTAAGAGGAGGGTGTACTTAGCCCACACAAGGGGTGCACTTCAAGTACCCACCTTGGGTTATAGGAGAGTTTGTGCCACTGGACCCTATAAGACATCTACTTCATTAAGCCATGCTACCAAGACAGGTAGCTACCAAGTCATAGCAGCTCTACCTAATACATAGAAACAAGCACAGGGAGACTGCCAAAATGAGGAGACAAAGAAATGTGACCAAAACGAAAGAACAGATCAAAACTTAAGAAAAAGAACTAAATAAAATGGGACTAAGTGATCTCTCAGATGCAGAGCTCAAAACACTGGTTATAAGGATGCTCAAGGACTTAGTGAGGACCTCAACAGCAT